TGATGGCGATTGACCCCAACTCCTTACTAAATCATACAGCTCTTACAGAACAGATTGCTGTTCCCCAGGAACTGGTGGAGGGGAGACTGCCTGAATTACCCTATCTGACACTTTCTCTCTCTCGCCCTCTCTCATTCATTTAATTTTGCAGCTGATGGTTAGCAGCCCGACTGAGAGAGGACAAGGAGGAGGGAGGGAGGGAGAGAGGGAGGGTAGGGGTTGGAGAGGCGAGGGTGGCGGAGAGGAGAGAGCCATTCATCTCAGGAATAAGGGTCGCCTTTTGAACCCGGGAGAGTGAAAGCAATTCACATACAGAAATTGCATGTTAATAAATAAATCAATTCATCCCTGTCTTTGTTCTTTCTGAGGGTAATCTTATTTATTTATATATATATATACACGTACAGTATATATTAATATTTTCTACAGTTGGCTGGTAACGGGATTAGATCATTTTAAACCAGCTATTTTGGGGTTGCATCTGGAACTCTGGTAAGCGAAGGGCTGGTAATGTCCCTCCAGAATGTTTGCTCCGAATGCTGCAGTCATTCTGTTCCTATTCAGAGCCAGGCAGAGGGAAACTGTGTGTGTGTGTGTGGGGGGGGGGGGGGGGGGGTTGGGGGGTGGGTGGGTGGGGAAAGGTCAGTGGGATTTCAGCCTTGATGATGTCACCTATAAATGGTGCAATGCTGTCTTCACAACTTGAGTGCTTTGTACACTAAATCCATGATCTCATCACATTGTGTGCTGATAAATGTGAGTGTGTGTTGGGGGGTGGTGGTGGGAGGGGGGGGGGGTGGGGGCTAGTGGTGGTGGTAGTGGAGGAGGGTAGATGGGGGGCATTGGGGGGGGAAAGGAAAGAAAATGTTTCGCAGCTCCATAGAGTGCAATTTAAAGAAAAATTCTTTAAGACCTTTTGTTTGATCGGCTCAATGTTTGTGGGACGCTGCTGTGCACAATTGGCTGCCGTGTTTGGCCAGCAAAGTACAGTCAATCCATTTTACAGTGTAGCCCGTGAAGCGCTTCGAGACGTCTCAACGACGTGATAAGGCGCTGTATCAAATGCGAGGATTATTATCGTTATTATTATTGATAGGGATTCAGCCCTGTTTTCGGACCGGATGTCAATGATGTTATTTCGTTTCTTGAGGGCTGATGCTGAACGGCGTCTGAAAATTCCATCCCTGCCATGTGCTCCTCTCTTGTCTCATTTCTTCTTATTATTTCTGTGGCAAATTCACTTACATGGTCATTTGTACACGCACAAATGTAAGTCTGGATCTCGGAGATTTCCTCTTTGCTGAGGCCGTTACCCATTCGGACTGAGCCTTGACTGGCTATCTCCTATCATCAGCTAATGTCACCTTGCTCCCTGCCGGCTGAACAAAAGCTGGGCTTCAGAGCACGGAATTTCTTATGCTTCTAGTCTTAAGACCGTGTGGGGCTCAATTTAAAGATGGGGCATTATTTTTGGAAATCCCTAAGTTCTGTTCAGGAACTGAGGCGAGACTGGCCCCCAAATTAAGGCAGAATTTATGAATTTGTCTTTTAAAAAAAAGATATTTTGGTATCAAATCTTCATTAGGACAATGGTCTCAGGTCTGAGGTCACAGGACATTTCGCCCCCCGTCCCCCACCTGCCCCCCAAATGTGGAGCTCAGTGCTTCTTTCTAACTGTTGCTTAACTAATAACTTGTTTAAATAATAATAATCCTTGCATATCATATGGCGCCTTTCACTTCAGAAGGACGTCTCCAAACACTATGCAGGAGGTACCACAGTGAAGTGACTGTGTATAGTATGTGAACACGCAAAACAGTCCCCGACCAACTATGAAGTGACTGACTGATGTTTATTGTATGGGGGGTGCGGGGGGGGAGGGGGGGAAGAGAAACTCCCTTTTTTTTATTGAACACATAGTTCACAAAGACTCGGCAGCTTAACGTGTGGGAACTCTTTATCTGTTCCAGGTTGATTGCACTCTCCTGACCATTTTCCGACCGAACGCAAACAAACCGGGAAAAAAAATCCCCCCTCCCCACAACAGAAACATGTTCCAAGACAAAGAGCTGGACTTCGGGCATTTTGACGAAAGGGACAAGAGTCGTTACTCCAAAGGTGCCCGGATGAACGGCTTGCCCAGCCCCACGCACAGCGCCCACTGTAGCTTCTACCGTACCCGGACCCTGCAGGCCCTGACCACCGAGAAGAAAGCCAAGAAGGTCCGCTTCTACCGCAACGGCGACCGCTACTTCAAGGGTATCGTGTACGCCGTCTCCTCCGACCGCTTCCGCTCCTTCGACGCGCTGCTGGCCGACCTGACCCGGACCCTCTCCGACAACGTGAACCTGCCCCAGGGCGTCCGCATCATCTTCAACATCGACGGCAGCGGGAAGGTGGGCAGCCTCGACGAGCTGGAGGAAGGTCAGTGGGGAAGAATTTTGGGACCTTCTGCTTGTCAAGGCCACCCCCTCCCCCCTCACTCCACCCCCCCCCCCCCACCCACTGAGCTATTGCACTGACCACAGTGCCTTGCACATCGAGAGCACTTCTCTGGGCAGCTTCACGGGGTGGGAGGTGGGGAGCTGGGGAGGGAGGTGGTGGAGGGGTGGGGGGTAGATGACCGAAAGCGCTGTTAAAGTGGTACGTATTGAGCCGTGCCTTGGAATGAGGGGAGGGCTGTATTAATGATGATAATGATTATCCTTGCAATTTGGTTTCATGTCGTCGAGACGTCTCAAAGCGCTTCACAGGATATACTGTGCGGTGAACGTGTATCTTGTGTTGATGTTTGCTCCTCCTCTGACGCTGCCTGAACTCAATCCCAATTCCTATGTCTCCTTACCTGAAGGTTCTTATCAAATTCGCTTCTAAATACCTCTCTTGTATCGCGCCCCCCCCCCCCACCCCCCACACAAACACACATACATCGAGTATCACAACACATAACCTATCCATTTGGCTCATTGGCTTTTCATCCATGTGGTTTTGTGGCCATTGAATGCAGAGACCTTTTTGTGGGGTAATAAAGAATAGTTCTTCGGTTTATGCAGCGCCAGAAACACTGAAACGAACGTCGAGATGGGACTCGCTGTCAAGTGTTGTAACTGTAGGCAATCGCGTCAGCCAATTTGTGTCCAGCAAACGATCATGAGGTGAATAATTTATCAAGCTGGAGCAGTTTGGGCCGGCGTGTCTCGAGAAATGGTGATATGGGATCTTTAACATACGCCGGAACAGGCCGACGGGACCTCGACTTGACGTGTGAACTGAAGCTCGGCACCTCTCCCCCCCCCCCCCCACAAACACAGTCTGCAGTGCCAGCGTAAAGTGTGAGCTTGTAACCTTCTGAGCCTGAGGCAAGAGTGGGGCTCACTGAGATACACACACAGACAAGGGGGAAAATACACACCACAGACAGCGACACACACACACAGACAGACATACACGCCCTGTCTGACTGCATGTCTGCGGTGGCTGTCAGCGTGACATTGCACAGGGCAGTTGATGGGCTGTTGCTGTGACTAAATTATTCGCAGCCGGGAAATAATAAAAGGAAAATCTCTGGCTCCTCACAAACGGCTGCAGTCATGAAGGAAAGGCCCGCAGAGCGAGGATGGCTATTGGCATGCGCACAATGTAGCGGTAACTACGGCAACCGGATAGGCCAGCACGGGAAAGCACACGTTCCATATTTTACCCACGATATCAGACGCCAGGTACGGCAAATAGCTCCCAGACCCCGTCTGGCTTGGCCTCGGACTTGGGTCCGTGATTGGATTGCCCGGCAGACCCCTGGCCCCTAGTGGGGCATTGCTGGAGCCTGACCCTCTCTTTATTAATAATAATCCTTATATCTGTACAAGTCACCGATGAAAAGAATGTCTTTGCTCAGCCATCAAAGGGTTAAGCGAGTAATTGATCGGTTCCCCCTCCCACCCCTCAGTGGTCAGTTCATCACCACTGAGCACTTTGTTCACATTAGTACCTCATGACTAATGCGCCTGCTCTATATTATTAGCACCTGCCTGTGGACATGTGCGTTCAGCTTCAACAGCTGGGACTCTCTCCACCAGGGCCTTCTTCCATCATAAGGAAGGAGTGGCCAGACTCGGGTTTGGTTGTCCTGGCCTGCTGTCCGTTCTCAGCTGCTGGAAGCTTGGCTGGGAGCTTAGGGCCGGGTTATCATCCGCTAAGAATAGAGATTTCTTCGTTGTAACTGAGATTTCTTCCTCCCCTCCGCTAACTCCACACAGTCCTTTTGGTGTTACACGTCTTAGACCTGCAGGTTGAACAGAGCCCCAGCCCATCGTGATCTGGTCTGGATGGTCTTTTGATATCAACTCTCCTTTTATTGATTGATCGCTGTTCACCGCCCGTGTAATAATCATCACTGGAAGCAATTTGCTCTTTTGCAAGCCGTCATTAAAGCATCACCCTCTCTGGTGTGGAACCCTCTCTCTCTCTCTCTCTCTCTGTTTCTCTTTCTGGTTTTGATCCCAACAAGTGCTTTAAGGGTGACGTGTATTGTCCTACATTCACGAGGCAGGGTTCTGTGCTGAAATCTGGGTTGCGCTTGTTCTCATTCAATTGGCTGATGACATTTGTCTGGACACAAACCTGGAGATGGGAACAAACTCGCCTTAATTACAGCAGTACAGTACACACACTCTCTCTCTGTCTCGCTCTGTGTCTCTTGTCTTTCTCTTGCTTCATTAAGCTCCAAATGCTTTTAACAAACAACCTAATATCTTTCCACCAGATTTAGTTAACTTGCTCCCCACGTGGGTCCCATTCAATGTGATAAACATCACGTGGACCCCAACTGTACCTCAGTGAATGGTTCACTTGAACGAGGTATCAGAGGGCAACAAGCAATCTCAAAGACAAATCAACCAGTCTGTGGTCAAAGGGTAATTTGACAAGAATGTCCCCTTTAAGTTGAGCCTTAATCCATTAATGTCTCCCTTCGCTCTTTCAACTCTCTCCTAAAACTCCTTTTTGTACTGCTTTCACCACCCACCCATCCACCCTCCCTCCCTGCCCTCTACCCCTCCTGATCCCAACCCCCATATTGGGTGCAAATCCCTGACTGTCCAACGCCTTGGGACGTCCCCCTGACATGAAAGGCGCTGTATATCTGCACGTTGTTGTTGCTTTCCAACCTTTGCGTTGACTAGTCAACATTTACCTTCTCTTTCTTCACCTCACCACTTCCCAATTGCCCTCGAGATGCACTTTGCGACGTTCGCCTTGCGTGAAAGGTACCAGTTGCTGTCGGGATTATATTATGTGTGACCATCTGCTGTTTTAATGTATTTTGCCCAGGAGGGAGTTATGTCTGCTCGTCGCACGACATCTTCAAAAAGGTGGACTACACCAAGAACGTGAACCCCAACTGGTCGGTAAACGTCAAGGCTTCTGGGACCCAGAGAGTGCCCCAGTCCCTGGCCAGCGCCAAGCACACAACCGAGGTCAAGGAGACCAAGGAGTTTGTGCGCCCCAAGTTAGTGACTGTTATCCGGAGCGGGGTCAAGCCCCGGAAAGCAGTGAGAGTTCTCCTGAACAAGAAGACGGCGCATTCCTTCGAGCAAGTTCTCACCGACATCACCGAGGCCATCAAGCTGGAGACGGGCGTGGTCAAGAAGCTCTACACCTTGGATGGTAAACAGGTGAGTGTCAGTCAATGCGATTTCGTCAGCTGTCAATCAGGGAAACCCAGGTAAGTGATTAACAGGGTCCCCAGTGCTCACGGGTTAAGGGAAAGTGACTCATTGATATAATGGTCCATCTTCCCACTGCACTTTACTGTTCATGGCTGATGGTGGCAAGACATGTGCTTTGGTAAAGCCTCTAGGGTTGGGTTCAGTAGAGTAAAGTTGGGTAGTTCAGGATTGGGTTAGTCATGGTTGGGTAAAGTAAGGTTGGTTTGGGTGGGAAAGGGAAGAGAGAAGAAGAAAATCAGTGAGTGGAGGTCACTAAGAGGCCCTATGTGGTGTTTGAGGGATTGGCACGGTTGGCCTGACCACAGGACTGCACCTCTCCAATCCAAAGAGTGATTTTTCTCAACGTCATTACATCCATATTCAAAAGCTATCACTCTCCCTGTAGCTAATCATTCCGTGCACTTTGTCTGTGAATGATTGTGTTCAAGGTAAGACATCAAGCTGATTACCTGTCATGTGCCGCCCATGTGTGTGCTGAGAGCAGTCCACGATCAAAGGCGTGTGGTGTTTTACATGTGTTGATGTAACCTGGGGACAATGTATGTAAGGAGTGGGGCAGCAAGGGAACGTCACAATGGGTTCACTTACACACTGGGTTTCTGAGCAACATCTAATTTGACTATTTGGGGATCTAAACATCTGAAGCATTGGGGCCGGATGTGGGACTGAACATAGACACAGCGATTATTGATGAGCGATTTGGTTCCTCATCAGGGCAGAGGTTGGGGAGACAGGTAAAAGCATTGTGATCCATGGCTGCTTCCTCCGTGAGGGTTCAGTGACTTAACCTTCCCTCGTCTCTCACTAGTTCACGTATAATACAAAAAGGTGGTGGAGGAGGGTGGGGGGTTCTTTCTGTGCTGCAATGTTAAAATCGGCCACTAGGAGGTGAAAGAGAGCCTCCTGATGGGCGGGGGTGTGTGTGGGATGGTCGGCTATCGTGCGTGAGGTTTGCTAGAGCTGGCTACGCGACAAGTCCTCTTCTCTCCCCCACCACCCCCACCCTCCGCTGGTGTCCAGTCCAGTCTGAGCTCCAGCGTGTATATACACACACACACACACACACACACACACATGCTCCACTCTCTCAGTGACTCGCTCCCAGCTGGCGAGTCTCTGCTAACAGCCGAGGCTGAATTGGAAACGTCCCAAATAGACGAGACTTGATTTTGAAATAAAATGGAAACAAGGAGCGCGAGTGTTTGGCATTGCTGAGATGCCCTGTACGTGAGCACATTGCTGGATATAGCTCCCACCGAGCCAGCCCTCACTCCCAGCCTTGGCCTCGAAGCCTGCACTCAGTGTTTATATTAGGATGTGAGGAATAATTGACGGCACTTGGGGCTATTTCAAGACTAACCCGCACAATTATGAGCGTCAAAACACGCTGGAGCTCTCGTCCTCTATCCCCTCCGCCTCGACCCCTCCTTTCCCAGCTTCAGGTCGCACCTGAAGACCTTCCTCTTAGACCAGTGCTGACCGTCACCTGCCCCTTCCCCCCGGCTCGGTGTCGTGCTCCGCCACTGTCGAGGGCTCTGGGACGCTGCCCTGCGTGAGGGGAGCAAGTTGTTGTTGTTGTTGGCCACCTGCCCCCAAATGTGGAGCTCAGTGCTTCTTTCTAACTGTTGCTTAACTAATAACTTGTTTAAATAATAATAATCCTTGCATATCATATGGCGCCTTTCACTTCAGAAGGACGTCTCCAAACACTATGCAGGAGGTACCACAGTGAAGTGACTGTGTATAGTATGTGAACACGCAAAACAGTCCCCGACCAACTATGAAGTGACTGACTGATGTTTATTGTATGGGGGGGTGCGGGGGGGGAGAGGGGGGAAGAGAAACTCCCTTTTTTTTATTGAACACATAGTTCACAAAGACTCGGCAGCTTAACGTGTGGGAACTCTTTATCTGTTCCAGGTTGATTGCACTCTCCTGACCATTTTCCGACCGAACGCAAACAAACCGGGAAAAAAAATCCCCCCCTCCCCACAACAGAAACATGTTCCAAGACAAAGAGCTGGACTTCGGGCATTTTGACGAAAGGGACAAGAGTCGTTACTCCAAAGGTGCCCGGATGAACGGCTTGCCCAGCCCCACGCACAGCGCCCACTGTAGCTTCTACCGTACCCGGACCCTGCAGGCCCTGACCACCGAGAAGAAAGCCAAGAAGGTCCGCTTCTACCGCAACGGCGACCGCTACTTCAAGGGTATCGTGTACGCCGTCTCCTCCGACCGCTTCCGCTCCTTCGACGCGCTGCTGGCCGACCTGACCCGGACCCTCTCCGACAACGTGAACCTGCCCAGGGCGTCCGCATCATCTTCAACATCGACGGCAGCGGGAAGGTGGGCAGCCTCGACGAGCTGGAGGAAGGTCAGTGGGGAAAATTTTGGGACCTGCTGCTTGTTAAGGCCACCCCTCCCCCTCACTCCACCCCCCCCCCCCCCACCCACTGAGCTATTGCACTGACCACAGTGCCTTGCACATTGAGAGCACTTCTCTGGGCAGCTTCACGGGGTAGGGGGTGGAGGTGGGAGCTGGGGAGCGTGGGGAGGGAGGTGGTGGAGGGGTGGGGGTAGATGACCGAAAGCGCTGTTAAAGTGGTACGTATTGAGCCGTGCCTTGGAATGAGGGGAGGGCTGTATTAATGATGATAATGATTATCCTTGCAATTTGGTTTCATGTCGTCGAGACGTCTCAAAGCGCTTCACAGGATATACTGTGCGGTGAACGTGTATCTTGTGTTGATGTTTGCTCCTCCTCTGACGCTGCCTGAACTCAATCCCAATTCCTATGTCTCCTTACCTGAAGGTTCTTATCAAATTCGCTTCTAAATACCTCTCTTGTATCGCGCCCCCCCCCCCCACCCCCCACACAAACACACATACATCGAGTATCACAACACATAACCTATCCATTTGGCTCATTGGCTTTTCATCCATGTGGTTTTGTGGCCATTGAATGCAGAGACCTTTTTGTTGGGGTAATAAAGAATAGTTCTTCGGTTTATGCAGCGCCAGAAACACTGAAACGAACGTCGAGATGGGACTCGCTGTCAAGTGTTGTAACTGTAGGCAATCGCGTCAGCCAATTTGTGTCCAGCAAACGATCATGAGGTGAATAATTTATCAAGCTGGAGCAGTTTGGGCCGGCGTGTCTCGAGAAATGGTGATATGGGATCTTTAACATACGCCGGAACAGGCCGACGGGACCTCGACTTGACGTGTGAACTGAAGCTCGGCACCTCTCCCCCCCCCCCCCCCCCCACAAACACAGTCTGCAGTGCCAGCGTAAAGTGTGAGCTTGTAACCTTCTGAGCCTGAGGCAAGAGTGGGGCTCACTGAGATACACACACAGACAAGGGGGAAAATACACACCACAGACAGCGACACACACACACACAGACAGACATACACGCCCTGTCTGACTGCATGTCTGCGGTGACTGTCAGCGTGACATTGCACAGGGCAGTTGATGGGCTGTTGCTGTGACTAAATTATTCGCAGCCGGGAAATAATAAAAGGAAAATCTCTGGCTCCTCACAAACGGCTGCAGTCATGAAGGAAAGGCCCGCAGAGCGAGGATGGCTATTGGCATGCGCACAATGTAGCGGTAACTACGGCAACCGGATAGGCCAGCACGGGAAAGCACACGTTCCATATTTTACCCACGATATCAGACGCCAGGTACGGCAAATAGCTCCCAGACCCCGTCTGGCTTGGCCTCGGACTTGGGTCCGTGATTGGATTGCCCGGCAGACCCCTGGCCCCTAGTGGGGCATTGCTGGAGCCTGACCCTCTCTTTATTAATAATAATCCTTATATCTGTACAAGTCACCGATGAAAAGAATGTCTTTGCTCAGCCATCAAAGGGTTAAGCGAGTAATTGATCGGTTCCCCTCCCACCCCTCAGTGGTCAGTTCATCACCACTGAGCACTTTGTTCACATTAGTACCTCATGACTAATGCGCCTGCTCTATATTATTAGCACCTGCCTGTGGACATGTGCGTTCAGCTTCAACAGCTGGGACTCTCTCCACCAGGGCCTTCTTCCATCATAAGGAAGGAGTGGCCAGACTCGGGTTTGGTTGTCCTGGCCTGCTGTCCGTTCTCAGCTGCTGGAAGCTTGGCTGGGAGCTTAGGGCCGGGTTATCATCCGCTAAGAATAGAGATTTCTTCGTTGTAACTGAGATTTCTTCCTCCCCTCCGCTAACTCCACACAGTCCTTTTGGTGTTACACGTCTTAGACCTGCAGGTTGAACAGAGCCCCAGCCCATCGTGATCTGGTCTGGATGGTCTTTTGATATCAACTCTCCTTTTATTGATTGATCGCTGTTCACCGCCCGTGTAATAATCATCACTGGAAGCAATTTGCTCTTTTGCAAGCCGTCATTAAAGCATCACCCTCTCTGGTGTGGAACCCTCTCTCTCTCTCTCTCTCTCTGTTTCTCTTTCTGGTTTTGATCCCAACAAGTGCTTTAAGGGTGACGTGTATTGTCCTACATTCACGAGGCAGGGTTCTGTGCTGAAATCTGGGTTGCGCTTGTTCTCATTCAATTGGCTGATGACATTTGTCTGGACACAAACCTGGAGATGGGAACAAACTCGCCTTAATTACAGCAGTACAGTACACACACTCTCTCTCTGTCTCGCTCTGTGTCTCTTGTCTTTCTCTTGCTTCATTAAGCTCCAAATGCTTTTAACAAACAACCTAATATCTTTCCACCAGATTTAGTTAACTTGCTCCCACGTGGGTCCCATTCAATGTGATTCACCTTGCTCCCTGCCGGCTGAACAAAAGCTGGGCTTCAGAGCACGGAATTTCTTATGCTTCTAGTCTTAAGACCGTGTGGGGCTCAATTTAAAGATGGGGCATTATTTTTGGAAATCCCTAAGTTCTGTTCAGGAACTGAGGCGAGACTGGCCCCCAAATTAAGGCAGAATTTATGAATTTGTCTTTTAAAAAAAAGATATTTTGGTATCAAATCTTCATTAGGACAATGGTCTCAGGTCTGAGGTCACAGGACATTTCGCCCCCCGTCCCATCTTAAGGCTGAGACCATGAGTAATTCCAGGACTTAGAAGTTGAATGTTCCTCAGTGATGAGTGTGTGTGACAAGATGCCGGGGAGATCGAAAGCTACAGGAAATCTAAGTGATAGAGATGGCGGGGAGGAGATGTTAGGATGAGAACTCGTTCTCCTTGAAATGGGAGACCCTAAAGTGCTGAAAGCTTTTGGAGATCATGAATGGAATTGACGTGTTGATGCAGGCGAGAAAAAAGCTGTCCGAGGAGGATAAAGGTCAGGAGATGGGAAGTTGGGAGACGGGAAGAAAGTCAAACGGAATCTTTCTGTCGACAGAATTGGCAACAGACATGAAATCTCCATCAATGAGGCCGGATACACTGATCAATACCTTCAGATACATCCAGGCAAAGGGTTTCGAGGTTGTCCAGAGTGATTTTAGTCTCACAAAGTGCTTTGAGACGTCCTTCTGACATGAAAGGCACTACAATAGTTATTATTTAGTCATAATAATAATAATCCTTGCATTTGATGCAGCGCCTTATCACATCTTCAAGACGGCTCAAAGCGCTTCACAGAATATACTGTAATGATTGCTTCTTAGCCCATCATGTTAACATTAGTCCTGGGTTGAGGGGGGGAAGAGATAATATATTCAATGCCACAAATCTGATATTCTGAACACAAAACAAATACACAAAGGATAAACCAGTACAAACTCTGTCTCAAGCACTTGTACCGAGGCTCTGGCTGCTTAAACTGTTTACTCTGGAAGCTCGAGGTGACCTGATTCATGGCTCTGGGCCATCATTGCTGACCCAGCGTTGTCTGTGATTGATCAAACTGTTAGAAAAGGCAGATAACCCCTTATTATCTGGTTCCGTTTGCCTTCGGCTCATTACGTCAAAGCAGGTAATTTCTGTAAAGTGTAGTGACTGTGCCTTTTGTAGGTGAATGCAGGCAGCAAAGTCATGCAAACACCCCCCCCCCCCCCCCCACCCCCGAGGCGAATGACCAAGTTTTTGCTATGGCAATTGTCGGCCAGGACAGCAGGAGAGAGCAACTCCCTTCTCTTTTCAAAACAGCATCAAAGATTTTTTTTATGTCTCGTCGAAGGATGGCACTTGCCCACAATCCCCTCCCTGTTCCCCCACCCACCCTCCCCCAGCCCCCTGGCACTGCACTACAGTCACTACACCAAGACTATGAGCTCAATAGTCCTGAAATGAGATTAGAACCCACAACCTTCTAATCCAACTGCTGAAGACAGAAGGGACTTAAACGGGTTTTTCAGGAGAGGAGAAAAATCAGAGGGAGAAGATTTTGGTGCTAAATCTTCCATTTACACCCACTTCAGTCGCTCATCTCTAATCAAAGTTAATGTTATGCTTCTCTGGCTTAAATCTGCATTAAATAGCGAATTCAGTCTTTCACCTAAATCCTGAGCCTCCTCACAGCTATTCCAGTTATCTCCGCGGTTTGAGGTCTCTGCACATTTCTGTGGCATCAACTAACCAGAGGGAGGAGGAGAAATCTTCCTTTTAATCCCCTGTTGTCTCAAGATCAGTAATGAAAGGGCCGAGAGAGACAGACCTGGTGCTTAGAATAGAACGACTCTAAATTTCACGCTGGGCACAAAGAAATGAATCAACGCTGCTCGCAGGTGTCTCACTGCGCATAAATTGGCTGCTGCGTTTCGCTCGCAAAACACGCAGTCGCACCTCCTTGCAGTACATCCTGTGAAACGCTTTGAGCTGCTCTGTGTTTTTATTCTCCGAGCGCTTCCTAACTCACTAGGAGGTTCAGCCAAGAGTTAAGCATGTCTCTGGGAGATTGCTTTGCTGCTGAAGCCTGTGCCAGTTGCGTGTAATGTTGGAGTTGAAGACGTCTGATAGGATTTATTGTGTGTGTATCTTGTAGGCGAATGTGGCGGCCAATTTATGCACACAGCGATGTCCTACAAACAGCCGTGAAGTGAATGACCAATTTCGTTTCAGGGTTTGTTATCATCCGGGATAAGGTGGGGTGGGGGTGAGGGAGAACGGCAGCGGTAAAGTTCCCTTTTCTTTTTCAAATGGCGTCGAGGGATCTTTAACGTCCACCTTAAAATGTGGGGGAAAAGCCCTGGGATCAATAAGAAAGGGAGAGATAGAAAAAGAGGCAATGATGGAACAGCCAAAGAGGGCGCAGACGGGATTAATGTCTCATCTGAAGGCCCGTTGCCTCTGACAATGCCGCGATTCGCCCACAAAGTACACGGTGAATTCACTTTACAGTGTATCCTGTGAAGCGCTTTGAGACGTCTCAACCACATGATAAGGCGCTGTATCAAATGCGAGGATTATTATTATTATTATTATTATTATCAGAAACGCCTTATGCTGCATCGCAATCCCACCCTGTTGTTTGTACGTGAGACTTACGTGAGGCTCCCCCCCAGTGAAAGGTTTGTGACGTCCATTCTAATTGCTTTTTCCTCCTGTTCGGAAAACTCACCCCAAACTGCAACCTCGCCATTTCATGCGCAGCACTATTCTGTGTTGAACTTTAAAGTCACTCATTGTTTGCTAAGTGCTTTGAGACGCGTAAGGAGTTGCGTTCTAAAGTGTTACCTGTGTTATCTGTGAACGTTAACACGAGCTGGGACTGAATTTGCGGCAATTAATATTGTTCATCTGAAATATTTTGATTCCCTGCCCTCTCTGACTCTCTCTCTCTCTCTCTCTCTCTCTCTCTCTACCTGTGTGCTCTCTCACACTCTCATTCTCTCACTCTGTCTGTCTCTTTCTCACCCTCTCTCTCTCTCTCTCCCCCTCTTTCATTTTCCCCCTCTTTCTTCCCCTTCTCTCCTCCTCTCTCTCCCCCCGCCCCCACCCTCTCTCTCTCTCCCCCTTTCCCCAGGAGCTCTGTGAATCCCCTCGGCTATTTGTGGACGGAATCAGCTCACACGACCTGAATCAAGGGGAGCTGGGCAATTGTTGGTTCCTGGCTGCAGCGTCCTGCATAGCCACGAGAGACGGACTTTGGCAAAAGGCAAGACTCTGTTCTCCCTTCAGATGAGACCTTAAACCCGTCTGTGCCCCGTGCAGGTGGATGTTAAAGATCCCGCAACACGATTGGAAAAAGAAGGGAGTTTGTCTCTCCCGGTGTCCTGGCCAACAATCCCCCCAGATTAAAAAGAAGCGCTTCAATGAGGTGATGAGGAGCTAAAGCCAGGCAAGGATTACTATTATTGATATAAATAATAATATTTTGTTATTGTCTGACACTCGTGGAAACCCATCACGTGGCTTATTGTTACTGTTGGTTAATATCTTAGTTGCAAAAGCCGTGGCCTCCCAATAGACCTTGACAGTAGTTTCCCCATAAAGCGCTGGGGTTTTTCCCCGGCCGGGTGTCTGACACACCCGGAAACCCATCACCGTTGCTTAAGAGAATCCAAACCAAGTTGAGAATTCCTGGAATCCCACGTACACATGGAAATCCCAGAGCTAAATGATTGGAATGGAATGCGCACTCTCTCTCTCTCCCTCTCCCTGGAGGGACACATCCATCCTGCTTACCTAATTCCAGCCAGTATGAGGTGCAGGTTGGCGAGAGCCAAGGCTTGTGGGGGGGCGCGAGCCCATTGTAGTGTTTTGCTGTGCAGGTGATCCCGGACTGGAGGGAGCAGGATTGGGATCCGAAGAGGCCGGAGAAGTACGGCGGGATCTTTTGCTTCCGTTTCTGGAGATTTACGGAGTGGACGGAGGTGGTGGTGGACGACCGTTTGCCCACGATGGGGGGGGACCTCCTCTACTGCCACTCGACGTCCAGGCAGGAGTTCTGGAGCGCTCTCCTGGAGAAGGCGTACGCAAAGTAAGAGACTTACACGGATTTGCAAGTTAAACCCAGGTCCCGTCCAGCGTGGAGGGCGCTATATAAATCCAAGTTGTTGTTGTTGTCCTTTCTGCACCTGTTCAGGTGGGTGTTAAATATCCCGCAGCGCTGTTCGAAAAGAGAAGGGAGTTTCTCTCCCACTCCCCCCCCCATGTCCTGGCTGACAATCTCCCAGATAAAAATTGGTCACTCAGTCCACGGCTGTTTGTGAGACACAGTTGGCGCTAAATGCACAGTGAATCCACTTCACAGTGTATTCTGTGAAGCGCTTTGAGACGTCTCAAAGATGTGATAAGGCGCTGGAGCAAATGCAAGGATTATTATTATTATTGTTTGCATAAATTGTACAGCGGAGAGACAGGCCGTCAATGGGATTAATTTAAGAAGCAGCTGTGATGCTGTGATGGGTGGGGACGGACACTGGGGCAGGTGCCCTAGAAGGTTAAGACCCGAGGGGCTGAAGTTACTTCTTCATCCAAAAAAAGAAACCTCTTGTGGGATCTTGTGACGTATGTGCGATGCGGGTCGCTCACAGGCTGTCCGGCTGCTACGAAGCGCTGAGCGGAGGGAACGTGGGAGATGCTCTGCTGGATTTCACTGGGGCGGTGGTGGAGACATTGGACGTGAAGCCGGAAGACAGCGTGGAAACCTCCGGCGAGGGCTTCAAACTGGGCGACCATCTGCTGACGACGTTTGACCAAGGAGGGCTGATCAGCTGCTCCAGTCACGTACGTCTCTCTCTCTCTCTCTCTTTCTCCACTCCGTCCCCTTCATTAGCATCAGACACACTCTCACCAGCTCCACCACACGGCGAATGGGATCATGTGAGCAGCTTGTGTGTGTGGGGGTGTGTGTATGTGTGTGTGTGTATGTGTGGGGGTGGGGGGGGGTAGTGTCAGCCGAATGTTCGACACACACCAACCCCTACTTAAGAGTATCCAAACCAGACTGAGAGTTCCACACACACACATCACCTACACGTGGGAATTTCCCGAGGTCTGGAATGGTGCACGATCTCTCTTGTGGAGCAATAGCAACGAATGGACATTAGGTCGACACCTCTGAGATACAGTGCTCGATAGCTGATCAGGAAACCTCTTGTGTTGTGTTGTGTTGTGCTGTGTTGTGTTGCGTTGTGTTGTGCCTCTGCCTTGCCCCCTCCTTCCCCTCTTTAGATCACGATTGTTCAAACCTTCCTCTTTGACCGTGCTCACGGACACCTCCCCAAGGCTTGACATCTGTCTCCGCCATGGTCAAGCGCTCCGAGACCCTACCCTGCGTGAAGGGCGCTATGTAAATACAAGTTGTTGTTGTTATTTCCTGATGAATTGGGCTTGAAATGAAACAAGACTCTCTCTCTCTCTCTCTGGGATTGCCTGGTGTGTGTGTGTGTGTGTGTCAGCTGAAGCCCAGTGCTGAGATGCAGGACCTGGGGCTGAATACACAACACTCCTACTCGGTGACGGGCCTGCGGAGGGTTCCCCTGACAGCGGGTACCCTCGCCGGCTCCGGCCCCGGCCCCGACACGCAGCTGATGGTCAGGATGAGGAACCCCTGGGGCAACAGCGAGTGGATCGGCCCGTGGAGCGACGCGTAAGTAACCGCCGGGTGATTGCGAAGTTGCCGCAGCGAATTGGTTAACCCGCTCGGCCACAGACCCGGCTGAGATGGGAACCGTTGATGTGTCTAACTGGAGGCCTGGCTGCTCTGTTCTCTCCCCAGCTCAAAGGAGTGGAACAAAGTCAGCAAACATGAACGCAAGAAAATGGGCATCGTGGTGAGGAACGACGGCGAGTTCTGGTGAGTCTGACTTTGTGGACTTGCGTGGTGGTTAGAACGCTTGCCTCGCAAGCGAGAGAACCCGGGTTCGATTCCCGGGCGGGTCGAGGCGAAAAGCTTGGGCAAGTTTCCTTACTCTCGCCACCCACACGCACATACACACGCCTCTGTTTACCCAGCAGTAAAGTAAGTGGGAACCCGGTTGTTAGTCGATTGGCGGATCGTTTTCCAGGGGTAATAATTCTTCCAAAAAGAAAATTTGGTCACTCAATCCCCGACTGTTTGTGGGACGCCGCTGGAGCGATTGGCTGCCGCATTTGGCCCACAAAATATACAGTCACTACACTTTACAATATGTCCTGTGAAGCGCTTCGAGACGTCTCAACCACACAATAAGGCGCTGTATCAAATGCGAGGATTATTATTATTATTATTAATATCCTACGATTATAAAGGTGACTTCAGGACAAAGATCCACGACGCAGGGGGTCAGACAGGATAAAGCTCTCTTTGCTGTGTTGAATATTTTGGTGTCAGCTTTGCTCACGGCTCCCGTTTCGTTGGCCTCTCTCCCAGGATGACCTTCGATGACTGGTGCAAATACTTCACCAAAGTGATCATCTGCTTCCTCGTTAACACCTCCCGCCTGAGCCTGCGGAAGACCTGGGAACAGGCGATGTTCGGCGGAGCTTGGACCAGACACACCAACCCACTGCTGCACCGTGCCGGCGGCTGCACCAACCACATAGAAACATTCCTGCACAATCCCCAGGTGGGGGACATTGAGGTTCAAGGCTTTTCGAGAGCTGTGCCCAAATTAGCCCCCGTGTTTGCCGACACACAGTCACTACACCTGACTGTAATTCCCCGTGAAACACTGAGGCCCTGAATATGAAACGACATCACCCTATAGGGAAGTCGGAAGGTGGGAGATGGTGGGGGGGGGGGGGGGGGTGGTGGATGATCACCAAAAAAAGGGTTATTGGCGCTGTAAAGATTATTGTTGACAATGAACTGAGAAGCCTTTGCCCCTCCCTCCCTCCCTCCAGTTTGTGTTTGACGTGACGAAGAAGAAGGATGAGGTCCTGGTGTGTCTGCAGCAGAAAGAACAGAGGATCCACAGGCGAGAAGGCAAAGGAGAGATGCTGATGATCGGCTTCAGCATCTTCAGGGTAAGAAAGAGACCTTCCTGTCCTCACGTCCATCCGAACTGAGATGGACGTGAGGGGTGGTTTTTCACACCAATTTTTTGTGCTTTAAGGTTTTGATAGGGTCGACATAGGGAAGATGTCTCCACTTGTGGGGGGGGGGAGACCAAAATCAGGGGCCATCAATATAAAATAGTCACCAATAGATCAAATAGGGAAGTTGGAAGAAATGTCTTCACACAGAGAGCAGTGGGAATGTGGAACATGTTCCCACAAGAAGTTGTTGAGGCAAACAGCACAGATGTATTTAAGGGGAAGCTAGAGAGGTCCATGAGGGAGAAAGGAGTAAAAGGTGATGCTTGAAGGCTTAGTTGAGGAAGGGCAGGAAGAGGCTCATGTTGAGCATAAACACCGGCAGAGACCAGTTGGGCCGAACGGCCTGTTTCTGTGCTGTAGATTCTAATGGATTCCAATGTAATGTAAAAACCATCATCGTGGCTCTTTCTATCATCAGGTGGAACGTAACCGAGAATACAGACTCCACACGTACCCTGAGAGAGTGGAGGGTTCCCGTTATGCCGACACCCGGAGCGTGTTTCTACGGACCGTTCTGTCTGCTGGTCGTTACCTTATCATCCCGACCACCTTCTTGGCAGACATTGAAGCCCCCTTTCTGCTGAGGGTCTTCACTGACACGGTCTCTGGGTGCAGGTAGCCAGCGGCAACATTTTTAAGCGGGCATCGGAAAGAGTAAAATAATAATAATAATAATCCACGCGCTTGACATCGTGCCTCTCGTGTTAGGAGGTCGTCTGAAAGCGCTTCACGGGATTTACTGTAAAGTGCGGTGGTCACCTCTCCATCCCCTTTCTCCGAGCCAGGCTTCAGTCCTGCTACTGTGAGGCACTCTGAGATGTTAGCCGACATAAAGGGCGCTATAAAATGCATTTGTTGTAGTGACCTATGAAGTTGTAGGCGAACGCAACAGCCAATTTGAGCACAGCTGCGGCTCACAAACAGCCATGAAATGCCTGACCAATTTTATTTGGGGACCAAGATACTGGGAGAAACTCCCTTCTCTTCCCATGGGATCTTTAATGTCCACTTGAACCAGGCACAGATGATGGGGGCTTGGCTATATCAACCGCAAAGGTTATTATCATCATCTCACTGAAATGGTGAAATGGGAAAACGACAACAACAAACAGCAGTGTTTCAGTATATCCACATTCCTGCTGGTGGTGCAAGCGAGAGGTAGGGCTCGTGCTCACAGTCAGCCACCAGCAGGCACAGAGCAGTACAGCAGATGGAACTATTGGCCAACCCTAAAAAAACAGAGGTAACGAGTAACTGCTGAGTAAACAGAGGCGTTAGGAATCTTGCTGAAAGCTTTGCCCCAGCCGGGGATCAAACCTGGGTCCTCTTACTTGCTAACTGCTACACGTTACGGGACAAAATACACAGCCACTACACTTTACAATGAATCCTGCAAAACGCTTTGAGACCGGCTGCTGCATCGAATGTCAGGACCACTTATTAAAACTCCCATCTTGGCGCCTTTTGCTCCAAGCGCTGCAGAAGATCAGGAGAAAGGATGAAGCCGTCGGGTGAACTGTCAGCGGGAACCTCTTTGATGTCTGTGGGGTTCAGGCAAAACCTAGACCAGGATTCTGAGAGTACAAATGGCTTTCTTCAGTGCTGAGTGGCTGTGAATGTTTAATAATACTACTACTACCACTAATAATAATCCTTGCATATGATAGAGCATCTTATGTCGTTGACATACTGTAAAGTGACTTGACTGTATACAGACCGGGTGTGTATACTGTGTGGCTTTGTGATTGGATTCCCCCACCTGCCCAGTAATAATTTCACTGGTCCATTGTGTGGTGACTTTGACCCTAGGGAGTTAACCCTTGACAAGCCCAAGGTGACGTGTTGGAACATTATGTACCGTTACCCGCGGATGGCCACCCATGTCCACCTACATGGTGCGATGGACCTGCTGAAGCAACGTACCTCTGGAGGTACGTGAGGTGACATTTCCTCTGACACCAAATTTAACTAAACTGAACAGATTTAAGATAATTGTCAGAAGAACCAGAGGGGAGGGAAGGCCAGACCAGGAGAGTTTTTTTTCACACACCCAGAAAGTTGTTGCACTACCTGGAAAGGTGGTGGAAACCGATTCGATGATGGAGGTCAAAAGGGAATTGGATAGGTATTAAACAGGAAACGTTTGCAGGACTGTGGGCTAAGAGCAGCAGGAGTGGGACCAGTTGGCAGCTCTATCAAAGAGCTTGGCACAGATACATGGGCTGAATGGCTTCCTTCTGTGCTGTAGGATTCGAGGATCTCTATCAGTGGGACATACACTCCAGTCTGTGATTGTACATGGGTAAAGATCCTCAATATTCCAAAAAGTAATCGTTTTAAAATTTCCCCCGGAAGTGGGTGTGGTGGGGGGGTATCTCTAAGACACCCCTGATACCTCTAACACAGCCTGACCTGGAAAGGGAGCAGAGGGGGAGGGAAGATTGAAGACAGCTATAATCAGGTGTGTGAAGCCCTGGGATGTGTTCAAGCGCTCTGGGACACCACCCTGCATGATAGGCACTGTATAAACAGTTGTTGTCATTGAAAGGTGTGCAGGTGACACTCCATGTACCTGGTGTGAACAGCAGTGTGTTACTTGCTATGTTCCAGGAGCAGACCCCTACGCGGTTATTAAGTGTGAGTTTGGCAGGGTTCGCACGGCTGTCTTTGAAGACACACTGAATCCCCAATTTGACACCAAAGCCATTTTTTACAGGAGGAACCCCAAGTTTCCAGTCATCATCCAGGTGAGGAGGCCTCTGTGTCAAAGCTCAAGTCACAACCTTTGCCTTGGGGCAGTCACTGGGGTTCACTGGGCTAATATCCTGAAACCATATTGATTTCCTTCAATACCTTGCTAAGGAACCCGTGCAAGAAATAGCACCATCGATCCACACTGACCCTGCCACTGAGTGAAATAACCAGCCTTGTTTTTTTTCTTACACGCATCCACAGGTTTGGGACAGGAACATTTTCTGGGACCGGTTATTGGGCGAGATTACACTTGAGGCTGCTCCGAGCGACACCGCCCAGCGCCAAGTTCTGGAACTTCAGAGAAAGGACAAGCGAGGAGGAGGAGGAGAGGCTCCCAGTCGCATTGAGGTGACCATCACCAGCAGCTTGGACCTCATGACTTTGTGAGGCGTTCACTTCGGTTAGAGAGCTTCAGTGGGGGTGGGGGTGGAGCGAGCACAGGGCAATATAATAATAATAATCCTTGCATTTGATATAGCGCCTGATCACATTGTTGAGACACCTCAAAGCGCTTCACAGAATGCGTTGTAAAGTGAATCGACTGTGTATTTTGTGGGCGAATTGTACACATCAAACAGTCGTAGACCGAGTGACCAAATTTATTTCTTAGGGGATGGGATCAGAATAGAGCTTCAATGTGGGGAAGGAGCATTGTTATGGAATCCAAATGAAACCCATTTTAGAGTGGCAGAAATTATAATAATCTTTGCATTTGAGACAGCGCCTTATCACATCGTTGAGATGTCTCAAAGTGCTTTACAGGATATACTTAACTGTAAAGTGAATTGACAATATATTTTTATATATATCACCTGCGAACATACAAGAGACCCGCTCAACACGGGAGAGAAATGAAAGACGCTTGCGCTGTCTATTTTGTTTCATTGAGTTTTTATTTGCAATGCTTCAGGTTCAAAGAGTCAAACTCCAAATGTTATTTAAACACTAAGTTCACTATTCATGCACAATCCACAGTTTAAATGAATCATTATCCCTCTATTGCTTCAAATTAGTCTGAAAACGCTCTGGAGGCCAGACGAAAACAAACAAAAAAATAATTATTATTCTTTTTTTTAATTTTTTTTTAAATATATTCAAAAAAAAATACCCCGACAATGTAGCCGAACATTGATGCCTGGGATTGTGTGTGCAGTGAAGTCATTTCCAGCATTTTCCCCCAAAACTTAAATTAAAAAAAATTTCTATAGTACCTTTTTAAAAATCTATTTTCACAGTAAAAGAAATTTCACATCAAATGTACAGGTTTAAACACTTTCTTTCCCCGAAACAGAGCGTACAGGAGACGAGTAGAAAAAATGTAATGGTACGTCGATCAGCATGTTCTGTTCCTCTTGCTTCTCCTTTGGTTTTGAATGTATAACATTCAGCGTCTTATAATTGCCTTACAATACTCTCTGTAACTTCCGGTTCACACTTCTTGATTAATACATTTGAATGAGCACAGCAGTGGTGATATTATTTTCTTTTTTGAGGGGGTGGGAGAGGGACAGTCAGAGAGATGGAGGCAGAGGGAGTGACAAACACACCGGGTATGGATGCAGGCACATGGGGACACACAGACTCTCGCGCACACCGCGAGAAAGGGGCGCATTGGAATGGTCCTCGTTTAAGGAAGCGGATTAAAAGGAGCCGCTGATTTAATTTCCTTCCGACCAACTGAAAGCTTTCTCGTGATTGCGATGCTTCACTCGAGCGCTCATTCTCGGCATCGTCATTGCAGGAACTGTCATGATGAACGTGATTATTAAGACAGGTTTCTGAGAAGGATGCCTTAACACACGACAGCCCAGCCCGCAGGTCGAACCTTCCAATGTCAAACTGACGACCTTGGGTAATAAATTTGCTATCGGAGGGGAAAATAAACAGATGGGTTTTAGCGTTGGTCGGAAGCCAAATCAGTAGAGCTCCTTTTAGATCTTTGCAAAAATGAAGATTGGAGACTGAACAGTCGCCAAAACATTACAGGGCGGGGAGGGGGAGAAAGAAATTAACACACAGCTCCAACCCTTTTCATTGAACAAAGGAGTCAATAAGACCTGCCCTGGAGGCTCTATACATTTACCCCCTCTAGACTGGCTACCTGTACCCCCACCCCCCCTTCCTTCTCAAGCTGTTCTCGTGACCTAAAATACCTTGAATATCCCCCCAAGAGATTCTGTGCAAGTGTCTTAAACACAGAGTTAACCCACATAAACCCTCTGACGTCCCACTCCCCAGGAGGAGGGGACGGTTGATCTAACACCTTGGTCGTCGGGAAAGGAAATCCCACTGAATAAAATACTGAAAACTGGACCTAACTTTCCTGCTTCAAGTCACTTCAAGTCTCCCCCCCATGGTCAGGCGGATCAATCACTGCAGGACACGAACCTTTCTGCTGGGGCAGAAAGTTGGTTTGCTGGCAAGCGTTGTGGGTGTGTGGCGGGTTCTCTCCCCCCCCACCGCACACTACAGCACACATTCCCCCACCCCCCACCCCCACCTCAATCCATGCAGGAAAAGAAAACTCCTCCAACATAGTCAGTGATCACAAAACAAATCCAGTCATTGTAAATCCAGCGCCATCAACAATCGATCGAAGAATTGAGACACTTGGAAAAACAACAGGCAATAAAGAATTGGGAAAGAATGGAAGGAATAGCTATTTGTGACAGAGCTCCCGCACCCGCTGCCCAGGGAAAATGGTTGTTGAAACACTAATAGCACGGAATGCAAGGCCTCTATTCAGTCTGGGAGCTGGGATTCCGGTGAGGAAGCATCGTTTGAAGGTGTTCAGTCAGTGGAGCCCAAGTCCAGGCCAACACCTCAACAGCCGCACGTCACAAACGCTGGTTTTAGTTCCATTTCATTTATTTAATTTTTTTTAATATATATATATATATAAAAAAATGGGTGATGTTTGGGAATAATCACACAATAATCCTCGTCTTTGATACGGCGCTTTCCACCGGTGGGGAGGACATCTCAAAGAGCGTCACGGGATTCGCTGTGAAGAAGTGTAGTGACTGTGCATTGTTGTAGGTAAAACACTCTTTACAACACAGGAGTTTTTGGACCCAATGATATATTTACAACTAGGATCCTCCCTGCTTAGGACTCCGCAACTGAAGATAGATTCCATTTTCGTTTTGTGAATGGGAGTGGATGAGGGGAGTGGGAAGTGTGTGTATGTGGGAGGTGGGGGTTGGGGGGTTGGGGAGGGAACTAGGCAGGAAAGTGGGATGGAGTGGTGGGTGGTTGGGAGGAAAAAGACTCCGTGCCCTTGGTGACGGAAGGTGTGAAATCAAGATTTCCGATGGGAATTGTACAAAAAAAAGTTGCCAAAACAGGAACTCTGCCTGGGAGCTCAGTCACCTCTGTACTCGCTCAGTCTTGTCGCACAAGTTAGATGGAGGTTTGTCCAGGGGAGAGGCAGTCCATGGCAAGCCAGCCCCTCTGTATCCCAGAGGGAGGGAGTGAAGGAGTGAGAGTGGATGTGTGGGGTGGGGGCAGAGAGTGCTGATGATGGGACACCCCTCACCCCCTCTCCTCTCACTCTAGCGGTTGTTCTTAACGGCCTCCTTGGCTGCGACTATTAGAGGGGTGAGACTCGAGAGAGGCTTTGCCACCTTCAGGAAGGGATGCTGGAGACGAGAGAGAGAGAGAGAGAGGGTTAGTGTCACACTGGGTGGAAATGGAAAGTCCCAGATAGAACCCAGGCACTAACTATCTTCCCCCACAGGGCAAGTGGCTGATCTCAACTGGGACACAGTGTGGACCAGGGTCAAGGCAGGAGCCCCAAATAACCCATTCCCCCCACCCCAGTCGGAGCGGAGATCAGGGGCTCACTGTTGCAGGGACTAAACCTGCAGAGCCTCTTAAAGATAGGGTAGAATTGTGGAGAAATGTCTAGAATCCAGTCCCAATCTCTGCCCCAAGGTGGGGAGGAAGGGGCAAGGCAGAGGGATTGAGGGAGAGAGTTAATAAATAATAGTAATAATCATCATCAATTGCCAGACCTGCAGAAGCTCCTTGGCTGATCCCCTCCGCTCCACGTCCATCTCCAGGCAGCGGTTCAGGAAGTCGCTGAAGGTCCCCGAGAGCTTCTCTGGGTTCTGGAGCTCAGGGGTCCCGTTAGTGGCGATCAGATACAGAGCCTGAGCACCAGCAGAGGAACGAGACAGAGGGGGAGGGAGAAAGAGGGGGCATAAGGGGGAAGAGAGAGAGAGAGCGAGAGAGGGCGGGGGGGGGGTGTGAGAAAGGGAGGGGGGATAGGGGGGGAGAGAGAGGGAGGGAGAGAGAGCAGAAGGTGAGACAATTGGAGGTGTTGGGATGGGATTGGGAGGGGAGAAAGAATGATGAAAAATGGCAGGGGAGAAGAATATAAGAATTACTAGACGAAAGAAGACCAAGGTCCATCCAGTTCGCCCTTCACCTTCCCAAACTGTATACTGTGTCCCGAGAAACAAAAATGGATAACTATTTCAGAAAGCCAGTAGGCGAGGCACACAGATACACACACACACGCACGAGGCTGAATGGGCTCCACCTGCGTTGTAAGTTTCCACAATCCTATAAGATTCTTTAAAGTATAGAATCCCTATTTTCTTCTATTCCCTTCATTCACTCAAGCCTCAGGCTGATCACAGTCGTGCATTGGTCTGAAGTACTAAAGGAGACAGTGGACACAGACAGAGAGGACTGGGTGAGAGCCCACAAGGTTAGTAGGGAGCATCGCGTTAGTGGAGTCAAAGCCAAAGCTCTTACTTACCCTCAGGGGGTTCTCATTCAGGTAAGGGGGTTCCCCTTCAATCATTTCGATCGCCATGATTCCCAACGACCAGATGTCCACCTTGGGACCGTAGGCCTTCCTCGTCACCACCTCGGGGGCCATCCAGTAAGGTGTCCCCACCATGGTGCTCCGCTTGTTTTGCTCGGGGGTGATCTGAGCACAGAAGCCAAAATCCGCTGCGAGAGAAGAGGGGGAGGATGGTCAACGCAATCCCACTCCCTGGGGCTACGGTGCGAGTTACACATTGCAACTGGAGATTAATGACAATACTTGCATTATAAGGCACTATCATCAAATGCAATGATTGATTATGATTTGATAAAGCTCTTTAATGAGATGACTCAAAAGTGCTCCACAGGATATACTGTAAAGTGTTTGGGATGTCCTCCCGACGTGAAAGGCGCTATACAAATGTATAGTTGTTGTAAAGTGAATTGACTGTGTATTTTGTGGGCAAAATGCAGCAGCCAATTGCACACAGCAGTGTCCCCACAAGCAGTCGTGGATTGAAGTGACTGGAGTATGATTTCGATGTAACGTAGCATTGAAAAGTGCTTTTGTAGGGTTGAGTTTTAAGTAAGTATAATAATAAAAATAATAATCCTTGCATTTGATGTAGCGCCTCATTGTGTCGTGGAGATGTCTCAAAACCAATTTAAATAATTAATAAATAATAATTAAACAATTAAGGCTGCCCAAGCAATCGAGCAATTTTAACTCAAAAGAAACATTAGAAAACTGCAACCTCTCCTCTCCCCCCCACATCCCCACAAAGCTGCCATGCTGGTCACACCCAGAGTAGCCTCGTGCTCCACCTACTTAATTTAACCGAGCCATCCATTCCCAGCAGAATGTTGTCGCTCTTGATGTCCCGATGGATGACCTGGTTGGAGTGTAGGAATTCCAGGGCTTGCAAACACTGTGTGGGGGGGGGGGGGGGAAGTAAGAACGAGGACGTCAGAATAATCCGTGAACCCAGTCTGCCCACATTACCCAAGACCCGGCGGCCGACTTGTCCCCGCACAGCGAGCGCAAGTCCCCACATAGAGAGCCGCGAAGATCTTTTGAAACATTCACCTAAACAGGCAAGGCTGGGACCTCGATATGAAGTCTCATCTGAAAGACGGCACCTCCAACATTGCTGCATCCCCCCCCCCCACCACCCCTCCACCCTCACCACCCAGCACTGCCCTGGAGGGTCAGCCTAGACTGTGCGAGTTCAAAGTCCTCGATGTGAAGCTCCACCTTCTGCCTCTGGAGGCCAGAGTGCTCCGACAGAGTTGAAATCAGGTCAACAGCGCTAAATTGACATCATTGCTGTGCTGTTGTCTGATCATCTGAGGCCACCCGGCAAATGGCCCTTTCTGCCCACGAGATGGCGCCAGATCTCTCCACTTCACCACTGCATCTCTCACCAACGTCCATCCGCCCGCCTGAGCTCAATGGAGTTGCGTCGAGTCGAGCGGCCGGCCGGCCGGCCGGCCCACCCCCTCCTGGACACAGGAGGACACTGCAGCTGTGCTTGGTCCACTCACCTCTCTGCACACGGCTGCGATCTGACCCTCGTCCATGCAAGTCTCCGTCACTACATCAGTCAACGAGCCCCCAGCCAGGTACTCCATCACCACCCACAGCTCGTCCCCGACAAGATAGCTGGCGGGAAACGAAACAAAACCAAACAGCAACTCAACTTCCCCTGATTCAACAAAACAATCGGAAATTTCTCAATGCGGATAAGCGTTCAGCCCAACCTGTCCTCGTCAATATAAGTTCAAGTTGTTGTTTGTTCGCCAGCTCCCTCCTCGGACTCACCTGTCTAAATAGTTGACGATGTTTGCGTTTTTATTTTCCCTCATGACCAGGATTTCATTTATTATCAGTTCCTTTTTTGGCTGTTGCTGGAGATTCATCTGCTTGATAGCCACCTGGGGAGGAGGGAGGGTGGGGGGGGGGGGGGGAAGAGAGAGAGAGAGAGAGAAAGAGATCAGAGGTTAAATCTGAGAGAGGGAGGGCGGGGGGAAAAAAACATTTATACTGCCTCTCCCCCCACATGGGGTAGTGACTCAGAACGTTGAACAATGGAGTAAGTTCGACGCAGAGCTGAGGAGAAAGCGGGGGGTGGGGGGGGTTAACCCTAGGATCGGTCAGTCGAAGAGGAAAGTCTTCAGGTACGATCTGAAGGCAGGCAAAGAGGGAGTGAGGGGGGGGTAGCTTTACTGGCCTTTTGTGCTGACCCGCCCTCAATCCTCCTGGAAGTGGGGTGGGGGGGCAAAGCAAGCAAACAGGAAAACAGTCAGCGTGTGAATCATCGTAAAGATGACAAAATGGTTCCATGTGTAACACATCACAGCCTTGCAAGATTGACACCTGGGATGGAAATGCCTCACTCTGCGGCCCAGCGCTGAAGGCAGGTGTCAGTCAGACTCACCTCTTGCCCCGTGGCGATGTCTATTGCTGTGTAAACTGTGCCTGATGCTCTGCAGAAATAAAAGCAAAAGCGGTGTTAGCAGAGAGTTTGCTGTGTCAACGAGAGCTGGAGCCGAGGCCCCAACAATTCCTCACGGTCTTTCCCTGGAGACCGTAGGCTTAGAATTTAACACTGCAAAATTACCCTCTTAAACATGAGAACATAAGAATTTGTTGGCGAAAGAAAACCAAAGTCCATCCAGTTCACCTTCCACCATCCTCACAGTCGCTTATAAATAAATAGTGAAGTATGTGGGGGTTAGTGGGGGGGTGTGTGTCTGAAAGGGAAGTCAAAGGCGTCTTAGAAATTGGAGTGGCGGTGGGTGGTGGGGGGGAGATGGATGAATTGTGAGTTGGAGGGACTCCTGGATGGAGATTGAGATCCATAGACAGACAGTCAGCAAGACAGAGAGAGACACTCACACACACAGACAGAGACAGACAGACAGTGGGAGGTTTGAGCTTGGAGCTATTTGGAGGGGAGACTGCATGGGGTCGGTTTCAGTTTCCATCAGCCGTGCCTGGCCGTTTCCCGGTGACAGAGGAGGAACAGAGAGAATTTGATCCGTCGGCTCACGGCTGAGGTGCTGAAGGTTCCCAATGTTTGAAGCCGCTCGACATTAATGAGAATAAACTCAGCCATTGTCACGTCAGCGCAACAGGTAACATGATACACAGTCTGGGGCTCTGTTACGAGGTGAGCTCAGTCCCTCCTGCTCTGCCCACCCCCCCCAAACACACACACAATTCCCCCCCACCCACACTCCCTCCCCCAACACACACACAATTCCCCCCCACCCACACTCCCTCCCCCCAACACACACACTGCCCCCACCCCAATACAAGACAGACAGCTGAAATTTTCTCTTCCTGTCAATGCAAAAAAAATACTGTACAAAGGTCAGAGTTAAAGCAATCACCACTTCATTGATTTTTACCAGCTAAATGTTTGATTTTAGTATCCAGGGGACTAACTGGGCTTCAGGAATGATATACAGACAGCAATTATCCCCGAGGGAGGGGGGAGGGGGGAGAGGAGCAGAGGCTATTGGAGCTCAGCTGCCAATGGCCTATTGGAATGGAGTCAACCCTCTGCGACAGTCTCTGGTCGAGTCCCTGAGACAGTTAGGGCTGCAGTGCTCCAGTACACTGCTGACGACAGCGAAGTGACAGCACAACTCGCTGGCAGGACTTGGGAGGGGCACTGATTCTTCCCTCTCAGCTCCCGTTAACCCTGGAAGCCAAAGCTTCCCTCCAGAGAGAGAGCGAGAGCAAGAGAGAGGGAGAGAGTGAGCTCCCATCCTCCTCCCCCTCTGACCCGCCAGTCTGCTCCTGGCTCCCTCGCTGGGAACATTTCCGGTCACTGCCTGGTCACTGGGCATCGCTGTTCACATGATCACTTCCAAAGCTGTGCGTTTCTCGTAGCTTGAAACAAGAGCATCAGGTCCTCTCTGTCACTAAAGTGTCTTGGCCACATAGAAACAGGGAAGGCATTAGGTGGGCTGAGCCCCAGCTGTTCAGCAGATCTTTTCCTCACCTTTTCTCCAAACCCTTTTACTTCCTGAGTAACTGTCCATCTCCCATATTAGATAGATTTCCTGTAGAATCTTAGAGCACAGATGGAGGCCATTCGGCCCATCGTGCCTGTGCCTCTAAAGAGCCACTCAATCAGTCCCACTTCCCCCGCTATTACCCCCACATTTCTTTGTAGAAAATAATACTTTGGGATACAGTACAAGAGTAACTTAACACATGATGCACAGGAAGTGTAGTACGGCTTGGAACAAACCGAGCAACTTCGGATCTAAGTTTCCCAAAGCTTTTCACACTGTTGAGGGTTGGAAGAACTGCTTTGCCAACGGAGCACCGGTGATTTCACACGCGCACAAGTAGAGGGTGCTATTCCGAGTTTTACAGGATTTCAACGGCTCAGCGGGCGGCTGTGTCAAACCTTTCCTTATTAAAAAGGTCTGTAAGCCAAGCTGACAAAGCACAGGTTCTCAAATGGCCATCTCCCTTTTGTCCGAAGCCTTTGCTGGTTGTAACCAGTCAAGAGTACGTGGCTGAAATGGAGATGGTTCTCGAATGTTGACGTTACCTCGTGGAAAACGTGTTAATCCGGCGTAAGTAAGGGATACGCACTCAAAGAGAGTGAATTGCACCCATTTAGAGAGCCTGTAGCCTCAGTGTGAGTGAGTGTGTGTGTGTGTGTGTGAGAGAGAGAGGGGGAGAGAACGCATTCCTAAACACAAACTACACGTTTAGTTGTTGATGAGGACACGAGACGGCACAGGAGGCAGGAGTGCGTGCGTTTGGCTCTGAGACAAAGCGAACGAGCCTCTTTGCCAGCCCGGTGACGGGAGAGGTGACCGGGGAGTGGAACTGAAGGATGGAGACAGGTGGCACCCGAGGGAGAAAACCTACGACAACAAAAATCGCCGTCATGCAAGACAGGAGCTCTTAATGATATTAATTCAACCCCACTCCGCCCAGCCACTCACAAAAAAAGCCATTGACACATGGTCCCTTAACCTTTACCTTAGGAGACGTCTCGCAACCTACTCAAAACGCACAGATTAAATATGGTTCTTGGTTTACCTTAAAAAAATCTATCACAGGAGGAGGCTATTGCACAGAGTAGAATTAACACACGCACATATTTCTTCCCTCTCCCCAGTTCTGGGCCATTGAGATAAACTGAAGCATCGACAAAGCTGCCACGTTCACCGACGTCAGTCTACACGACACATCAGAGTAAACCCTCAGCTCGAAACACTATCAAGTCACTGTGACAACCACAACAAGTTACATTTACTCGCTGCCCTACACGTCGGGAGGACGTCCCAAGGCGCTGGACGGTCAGGGATTTGGACCCGAGCTGAGGGTTGGGATCAGGGTGGGTGGAGGGCAGGGAGGATAGGGGGATGCCCGAACACGCAGTCGAAGAGGAGGGTCTCGAGACGGTCCTCGAAGGGACTGTGGGTGGCGTTCCAAAGGATACTCTGGTGCTAAACTGATCAAGTGATAAACTGGTGGAAGGATAATAGTATTTGAGGCTTTTTTAAAAAAAAAACACAACAGGTTGTGAAAAAGACCAAAGGGGCCAGAGAGCCATAAGAATAAGCCATGGAGTACATAAGAAACAGCTCAATGCTGTATAACTAACGGACAGATGGAGGGGTGGGGATGAAATCAAAATGGGCCAAAAAGGTAAAAAAAGATTTGTTGCAACCCCTTCTGCCCTTTGACACCAACACTGGGATTTCACAATCACTGAAATAAGAATAATCTTAGAAACTCAATGAGCATCGAACAGCCCGCCTCACTGCCCACCGCTCCTCTCTCTCCCCCCAACTCCCCCCCCGGCCCCCCCCCACAGCCACACACACACACACCCCGTGTGACAGAGTGACGCACAGAGACAGGAGAACGGACACCTACCCTTGGCCAATCTTCTCAAACCGCGTGTATTTTTTCTTGGGGTCACCCACGCTGACGATACTTCCTGAAACAGGCAACAACAACAACAACTTGAAGGTCTCGTGACACCTTGAAATCGGAGCGGGGAGGGGGAGAGAGCTCGCAATATCTCCAGAAGCAGCTCCTGTCACCCTGGGTAAACCTGGCGAGTGACGGCATCGAGAAATTGAACAACAACTTACTTAATTTTTCCAGAATCTCCTCGTCGGTCATCTTGGACTTCTTGCGCTGTTTGTCGGTGTTCCGGCACAGCTGGCTGTTCAGGCTGGTGGTGTTCTCGGGCGGGGTGGTGACCGGGGAGGTTGTGACCTCTTTGACCGGAGCTGGTGGCGCTATGGGCTCCAGCACCGACCGGGTGTAGATCTGCCCAGAGGAGATGCTGATAGTTACTGGCAATAACCGTGTGGGTGGGGGTATGTGTGGGTGGGGTGTGTGTGAGGTGTGTGGCGGTGGGGTGTGTGTGTGGGGGTGGGGTGTGTGTCTGTCTGTGCATCATTCAGAACAAAACCAGATAAACACCCCAAGCTTTAAAACCATCGAGACGGGGGTTAGAAAGCGGGATTAAATGTCGTTTAAAATGGTGGTGGTGGGGGGGGGGGGGGGGAAGAAACACACACGGGGGGGGTGGGGGTGTGGAAACAGCTTCCACATAGTGCTGGGAATTTGACATTTCTAATCCCGCTCTCTCTCCCGCATTTACATTAAACCCCTCCATCCCTCCCTCATCCTGAGGTTAGAGGGAAAACAAATTCAATGCCTCCCCCACACCCCCCCCCCCCAGGGCTGATACACTGAGCCATGACGTGAAATAACATGGACAACTCTGTGATGCTTATAGCCAGCCTCCCCCCCCCCAACATACTGCGCTCCGCACCCCCTCCCACTCACAGACTTGGTGTGGTCCGGCCGGGGGGCAATCACTGGAGGGGGGACATTGTCGTCCTCCTCGTCATCGTCCTCGGACACCGGGGGCACGACCGGGGGCTCAGAGGCCATCTTCGTATTCTGCGATGAAACAGTCAAACACGAGGATCACTACTAATTATTATTATTGCTATAATTGTGATTGTTATTATTATTATCATTGTTATTATCATAATTATTATTATTCACGTTAGAGATGGAGAGATACCAAGTACCACAAGCTACTGTAGAAAGGGGAAGGAACAAACTACAACAACAAGATTCCATTTATAGAGCGCCTTTCACGTCGGGAGGACGTCCCAAGGCGCTGTACAGTTGGGTCGGGACCCGAGCAACGGCGAAATGGTCAGGGTGAGGGGAGGGAAGGGAGGGAGCGAGGAAATGGTCAGGGTGAGGGGAGGGAAGGGAGGGAGCGAGGAGGGGGTAGAGAGTCGAGAGCGGAGCTGAAGGCTGAAGGTCAAAGAGAAAGGTCTTGAGACCGGCCTTGAAGGAGGAAAGGGAGGAAGCGGCGAAGGCACTGGGGATAGAGTTCCAGAGCCTCGGGGCTGAGAGGCTGAAGGCCACCGATGGTAGGGCGGTTGGGGCGGGGGACGGGGAGCAGACCGGAGCCAGAGGAACGGAGGGTACGGGCAGGTAGGTAGGGGGATAGTAGGTCGGAGAGGAAGGAGAATAATAATCTCCACCCCCCGCCCACCCCGCGTCAGAGACTGACTCACCAGAGCATTCGCGGCGACATATCCATCAGCGGTTTTATCTGCAAAATGCAAAGGACACACCATCAGAGGTTTACACGGCTGTTGGTAACCAGGCGCTAGTTCAGAGGTTGAGACGTTTGTACCCGAACAGAACTCGCAAACATCTCATTCCGCGCGGCTGAAAAGCAGGTTTCCACAGTCAAAATGTACCCCCAAAAAAAACACACAAGATATGGACTTATATAGTCAAAAACTTAGTAATAATATTGTATATGAATGAATGAATTGTATATTTGAAGTGAACTAATCTGGAGTCCGTCCGTTCCTCCTTCCCTCCCCCCCACCTAAAAAAAGCTAAATAGATTGAGTGTAAAGAGTTAACCTGGACTCCCGCCGGTTAATTTGAAAGTATATTTATTTCTTTTTTTAAAAAAAGCACTGCCTCCAAAGGAAGACTGATTTTCGACAATTCTGCGCTGCCGTCAACCACAACAAATAAAGTGGCCTTCAGGTTCAGATAGATTTTGCAGCCCTCAGAAATCACCGTTAGTTAATTGGTTGGTTAGTCATTTATTTAGGAGAGCGAGTGCTCACACTTTGAAGCCAGTTATGTCAAAATAAAAACACTAGTTTTCTTGGGAACGTATTAAATCTTCAATGAAAATAATAGTGTATTTGCTTTCATAGCCATCAGATATTGTCACTTTGATTGTCTCCGTGCAAGAGTTTTCCCAGGGCTGGTCAGGGGCAAAGCTACCAGCCTGGATCTTATACAACTGTTACACAAAGGGTGACCCACAACATAATCCTATCACCTTGGGTTACCCATCAACGCTTAACCGTAAGACACTGAATAATTTAAGACGTTTCTTTTTCTGCCCTCTCGCAAAGGAAGCCATGCCCGATACATTCAAACTACAGAGCACGGTAGACTAACATACAAAATTTGGCTTCCGCTGCAAGTTGGGTGGCGGGCAGGGGGTGGGGTTGAGGGGGACGGGGCGGGAGGGGGGGAGGAGAAAGGAAAAAAAAAAGGTGGAGAGGAGGGGAAGGGATTCCAAATCTGAACCCTCAACTCTTTTGGGTTCTTGTGTATAAACAGAAATATTTGGCGGCTTCAACTGCATCGGAAGCCAAAGTCCCGTAGCTCCACCTAACCCTCGGGCATTCCTAGGGATGACGACTGTTTGGACACATCCAAACTGGGAGTTCTAACCCTTCCCAAACTCAATAAATACACGATTTCAGGCTTGTTGGAGCACGTGGGCAAGAAAGCCTCCGTGGGACTGGCGGGTGGGCGGGCAGGCGGGACATGCTAGCGCTGGCGGTCAGCCAACCCGATGCGTACAGCCACTCCCCCCACCACCAACCACAGCCAAACCACCCCAACCAACGCCGTCCCTCCCCCAACCAACAATCTGACCCATACAGACCCTCAGCCGCCAACACCACCAGAGAAACAAACCGGTTCGATTGGTTTTGACAGGTTAAGATTGGGTGGAATTTTTGCCGGGGAAAAGGGTTGGGAGCAACCAACATGCCCCATCTTCCCATCACATCATTCTTCTTCTCTCCCCCCCACCCAAATCTGACACATGCATTCCCTCCTCCCTGCTCATCCCCCACTCCCCACCCACCCACCCGCCCACCCACCCAAGCAGTCATGCCCGCAGGTAATAAAATAACGTTTTGTGAACCCGTCAAACCTGGATCGCTTCAGGTAAATAAACAAACAGACAAACCATGGCGCAGGTGGAGGTGGGGTGGGGGAAGGAAGGGAAGAAAAGGAAGAAGAGGAAGTGGGGGGGGGGGGCATTGCAAGTCGTGCATAAAAGACAGTGGAGGAAAAACACTGCATATTCGTGTCTGCTTGGGTCCCACACATGCACAGAATCGGAATCTCTGTGCACACAAGCCAACGTCTCATCAAATCTCCCCCAAATTTGGTTAAATTTAAGAGATATTCCCAACCAAACCGCAACTCCCTCCCCTCCGCACCCCCCTCCCGGCCAGCCGCCTCCCAAATAAATCCCCAGAAGCCAGATGCGGTTAAGAATTCCCGATCTGGTGCACATCCCTAGGGATTCCCTGCTGCCGCTAGCCATATCCGGCCTCCTCAGCGCTCTGCTCGCCCGCTGCACGTTAAGGATTTTTTTAAAAAAAACGAATAAAATCAAGCAATAAACCAACCAGTGATCTGTGTGCACTTGTACTGCTTTAGGAGGGGAACCATCAGAGCATATACTGCTGCAATAGAAGTCAAACAGCTGTTTAAAGAAAGGCGAGCGGAATGAGGTGGATATAATCAAGATTAAAAAAAGCACAAACACAAACACTCACACAGAAAGTCTCATATGAAGGTATCACTTCATATCATAGAAGTTACAGCACAGGGAGAGAGAGAGAGAGAGAGAGAGGGCTATTCTGAGGCTGTGCGCTCTACATGTACAAGCGAAACAGATTGGTTAGTTATTTGAATACAGGCACGGAGAGAGGTCCAAGATACAAGACTGCTCGGGAGTGTGTGAGAGTGTGTGTGTGGGGGGGGGGGGGGGGGGGGTTTGGTTGGGAATATCTCTTCCTAATAGTGATCAGCGATGGTTAATGTCCTCCCAAACTACAGAGCAATATTGCTGGCCACCTGGAGCACAGCACCCACGGCAAAGCTGCCCCGGAGCACCAGCCTGGACCACACATTCAAATCCTCGGCTTCTAACTCACGTCACCTGCCCCGGTGGGGGGGGGGGGGGGGGGGAGAGAGAGCTTCCTCTCCATCGCCCAACACAACAGGCACAAACTTACTATCACTCCCCCTCCACCCCAACCCCTCACCATGGCTCGCTACCGTTAACCACCTGAACCACACTGAGGGCCTCTCGCTCAAGAACGTGCGATAATGAGCACGAAACGAAAGGTCCCAAGTTACACTCCTGAGATTTAACAGGATAAGAGCCGACGCCTGCATTAGGCTGCTGTCTCCTCTTCTCCGCCCACCACCACCCCCCCCACCACCACCATCCGCAAACCTCTCCCCCTCCTCAATGGAATCCTCTGGAGGAATCTTACAGGACACAAAATCCCATCAGGAATGTGATCACGTCAGCCTCAGTCCCCTCGGCTCCTCTCCAGTGCCCTCGGCAAACCCAAATCCTAACGGATAGAAGTTGTCCACTGCGTTATATATACTGCAAAGGGTGGGGGGTGGGGAGAAAGGAGAAACAGCGAAAGAAAATTAGGAAAGTTTCCCAGAATTGGGGGTGGGAGGGTGGGAAGGGGAGGAAAAGAGGAGAAAAGGAGAGGGATGCGGAGTTGGCAAATTAATTTCTTCCTGCGATAAAAATTACTGCTGTGTGTTTTATATATATATATATAATATATTTTGAAGTCGTCCATTCTCTCTTGATATATATTATATATAAAAAAAGTATATATAAACGCAGTAAAACTTTAGTAAAACTGACGGAGGCAGAAGCTGTGTGAACATAGGTACCTTAGTGGAGATAAGTCGAGACTAATTGAATACAACAAATATGTATCTGGCAGATCTATAACCCACGCAATCCCAACCGGCCCCTCCTTCTGTCTGTCTGTCTGTCTGCCTCTCACTCTCACACACCACCTCTGTCTGCGCCAGCCACATTACGCTGCGCTCTGCTCCAGTACAACTGCACAAGAGCCTCTCCACTTCTTACCTCCAGAGGTGAAGCTCATGTACTTTTGATTATTGACGGTCTCTTTGGAATCGTAGAACTTGAGGACGTCGAGGACGGCCTGGGGGTTGGTTTTCTGCTCCAGTTTGGTGATGTTCGACGTCTGCAGGAGCTTGGCCCACTGCTCGGGGATTCCCTGCAGCAAAAGCACAAACAAGGACCTAAGAGCCACGCTCAGAGCAGCTGTTGGGACGTCCTCCTGACGTGAAAGGCTCTTTACAAAGGTAACTCTGTATTTTGTATTTGTTGAGAACGAGAGAGAGAGACTGAGAGTCTGTGCGTGTGAGTGAGAGAAAGAGAGAATGTGTGCAAGAGGAGAGGAAGAGAGTATCTGGGAGAGAGCTCCCTTCTCTAACGCGTCATGGCATCTATAGCTCCACCCAAGCCGGGGGTTGCAATCAAGTAGGGTGGAGGGCGAGGGAGGATGGCAGAGAGTGGGAATGTGGCTGAAGGTACGGTTAAGGAGGAAGGTCTTGAGACGGGGTTAGGAGCACAGTTTGAAAAACAGCTTTGCATCATGTCCCCTTTTTCGGGGGACTTGACGGTTGACTACAGAGCTCAGCCACACGGGGGGAGAGGGAAGAGGTGAAAAATGGAGAGGGAGCGTCCACACAAGAGGGAACTGTTCCCTCCACCAGGTACAAATGATTTCCGAGGAGTGGGAGAGATTTAAAATCGAGCAGCAAGACAGCGCGTGGGAGCAGATGCCAAGGTGGGAAATTCACAACCAATTATCTTCAGTAGTTGAGGTGTCTGTACGTCACACACTGACTTTACTTTGATCAGTGGCCACCGAGTCTGACTCACCGTGAACTCTCCTGTGACCGCATCAAATCCCACGTGTATAGTGTGCTCAAAATCAGACGGCAGAGAGATCTCCGGGCGCTCTTTCTCCCTCTTTTTGTTAGCTACACAGAGACACAGACACACACGCACAGACAGACAGAGACAGACAGAGACACGTAAGAGAGAAAAAACACAAATCAAGCACAGTAATGTAACACTGAATATAATGCTGACAAGAAAGTTCCATTGTGTCCAATTATTGCCATTCCAGAAGGTAATGAATGCGACAAAACATCTTTATAATAATAATAATTATTATTAATATCCCCGGCAATTGACAATTCTGTCAACAAATTCAAGACGCCTCAAAATGTGCAAAAGGGAAATGCAGTGGAGCTTTGTGTCTGTATTTGTGGGCACACACACACACACATACAACCCCCTCTCACTCACAACCACACACACAGCACCCCTCCTCCCCCCACATACACACAGCACCCCCCCCCACATACACACAGCACCCCTCCTCCCCCCACATACACACAGCACCCCCCCCCACACGCACACAACCCCCTCTCACTCGCAACCACACACCCACACAGCACCCCTTCCCTCCCCACACACACAGCACCCTCCCCCCCCCACACGCACACACACACAACCCCCTCTCACTCACAACCACACACACAGCACCCCCCCCCCCACACGCACACACACACAACCTCCTCTCACTCGCAACCACACCCCACACAGCACCCTTCCCTCCCCACACACACAGCACCCTCCCCCCCACCCCACACACACACACAACCCCCTGTCACTCACAACCACACACACACAAACAGCATCCCCTTACCCACAGACCCCCCCCACCCACCCGGCCAGCGACACACAGTCGTAAAGTGAGCGACCACTCTCTCTGGAGGATCGTTGACCCGGACACTGGGTGGAGGGAAGTGGGGAAATTGGGGCAACATGACTTTACGCTGAGCTCCAAGACCCCGACAAAGGAAGATACGTTACTCTTATCGCCCGCTCCCGGGAAGATGGAGCGTAGCCGGGCTTTCTTGTTCTTCTCCTCGGGCACCAGGGGCAGAGGCTTGGAGCCATGGTTGAGGGAGGATGAATCACGGTTGTTACTGTTCATTCTCAAGGGAGGTGCTGGTGGTTTCTCTTCAACATCAACACTATCGGACATCTTCAGCAACCTCACGCAAACCTGCTCAGAGACACGAGAGAGAGAGAGAGAGAGAGAGAGAGGGTGAGGTGGGTAGAGAGTAAATATAAAGCAACTCAATATTTATAAGGAACTCGAACTTGTTCAGGTGACGTGACGTTTGCTGGAGTTTGGTTCCAGGGGCGTGGAATGGAGAGCTTTTTTTTAACCTGGTCAAGCCATATCCAGGACTCTAATCCTACATATGTGGTCCCTCTCCTCCCACTCCACTCGAGGCCACTCACCACCACACACACAGTCTCTCTCTCGCTCATCGCCGCCCCCCCACCACCCACCCCTCCATTCCCCCCCCCTCCAACCCACTCGCTTTTGATAGGAGTGATGGGAATAAGAATATTGAAAATGATAATAATCCTAATAGTAATCCTTGCATCTGATACAGCGCCTTATCAAGTTTTCGAGACATCTCAAAGCACTTTTCTTAGATTTCTTAGATCAAGAGATCCGAAAGCTTCAGAACGAACCACCTATGCTCAGAGCAGGATTCCCTTATCCCAGCAACAGTGACTTTACAGACGGTATTCCCAGCTTCCCGAAGGCGCAGACACAAGAGTCGCTCAGGAGTTCTTGAAATTAAGGAACTCCGCAAAATTGCTCCAGTGACTGGGAGCGGAAACGAATAGCCTGTATGGGGGTCTGTGTGGTCGGTGGATCTGGAAGAATCTGTAGTCAGTGAAGAGGTTAACCCAGCTCGGGGTTAACACAGCTCGGGGTTAACACACTGACCACCTCAACGCGATCACTGAATCAAGAAAAACACCTCCTGTTGCTTAACACGTTTCGCCCCCAAAATACACAGTCAATCCACTTAACAGGAAGAGCTTTGAAGAGCTTTGAGACGTCTTGAAGACATGATAAGGTGCTGTATGCACGGATGACGCAAAGATTATTATCATTATTATTATTATCTCAGAAACAAACGTGAATTTTGATGAAGCATTTGATTTTTTTTAATAACAAAGTCAACACGTCTCAAAAGCCCTCGACAGAGAATTGCAGTCAACTGTTTATTTGGAGGTAAATCCATATGAATTGGGAGCGTGTGTGTGTGGGGTGGGGTGGGTGGGGGTAGTGGATGAAGAAGGTGTGGGTGTGGGAATGAGATTGTGTATTCCGGTTTCTCCTCGAGACTCCAGGATTCCTATACGACGTTCATTCCTTCATTCACTTGCTTAGTTACATGACTCAACCTGATTGCAAGATCGCTGCACTGCAGCAAGATCCAACCGGTGCCCCCAGCGCCCCCCCCCGCCCCCAACCGCCCCCCACCCCCCGAGCAAACAGCACCACGTCAGTGACACAGCAACTCACACAGAAAATAATAATCTTCACACCGAGACATCTCAGATCCCTTTCACAGGTGTCTTACTGTAAAGCCCAGTGACCGTTGGATGCTCTCCCCCCATGTGAGAGGCGCTGCTCAAATGTGTTTTATCGTTGCTGTTGTGTTCCAGTTTCCCTAACGCTGGAGGATATCTGCCAATAGTTTGGAGCGACGCACGTACCCTTTCCCAGCAGAGCCGCCGCTGGGAAGCTGTAGAGCACCGAGCCTCCCAGCAGGACTGAGGCGCCCTATACATCCCCGCGGAGGTCACTGGGCTCAACAGCGAGTTTCATATATCTCATCCACCCAGTCACACTTACCAACCAGCTAGGCCTCCTGCTGGAGTGAGTGAGTGAGTGAGTGAGTGACAGGCAGCTGACTGGAATGGAGATGGCTCCTCTCAATTCACAAAGGAAAGGAGAGTAAACCAGATGTCAGATGTACCACATATACAGGAGCTGCAGAACCACTGAGTATTCATTTACAAACACACAGTGGTGTCCGGTTTCCCATCAGAACCTTTCTCTATATTTCCGCACCATTTATACTGACACAGCGGCTTTCACGTCGGGACAACACGCAAGGTCCTGGATAGTCAGGGATTTGGACCCGAGCTGGGGGTTGGGATCAGGAGGGGTGGAGGGCGGGGAGGGTTGGGGGTAGGAGAGTGACCGAGAGGTCCGGTTGAGGAGGGGGGTCTTGAGATGGGCTTTTGAAGAAGCCAGGGTGGGGTATGAGATGGAGGGACTGGGGGATGGAGCAGGCTACGCTGAGTGGAGTGAGCAGACAGGTTGGTATGGAGTTAACAGAGGTAGGGAGGAGCAAGGCAAACAGAAAATGCAGAGATTTGGAGGGGAGGGGAAGATTAGGGCGTGCGATCTACAATACTCATGAACGAGCAGTACAAAGGGCCAGTTTCTCTAATAACTCCTATTTGAATGGAGAGGGTTGAGGTTTGTAGGCGTTACCCACCATTGAATATTGTGATAAAGATTCTGCAATCATCCATTCCATGGCCTTTAACCTTATAATGCTGGAAAATGCACAAAGTTTACTGCAATACCACAATGTGGCAAGTCTTCACCGGAAAGCCTCGCTCCCCCAAAATAGTGGCTTCTCCTTGAACACACAAAACTCAGCCCAAGGTGTGCAGTGCAAACCAACTTTCTGCAGTTGGTTTAAAAGGAATTTGTTTGCCGTTCCTATATTACACCTGACTCAATATTGGTAACAATAACACGGTGCCTACTATTGTGAAAGGTTTGAGAGGAGCCAATGGGATTCGAACCCAGAACCTTCTGACCAAGGGCGAGAGGCTGCAACATCACCAAGACTGCCCCCATCTCCACCAACACCCTCTGGTGGTTGGAACCAGGAGCACAAAACAACCAATCACTCTGAGGTCCATTGTGAAAGACAAGTGGGAAAACTTGCTGGACAGTTTTAGTTAGTTAGACTCCAACGGTTACCCCCAACGCACACTCCGGAGTCCCCAAGACTTGGCTCCTGCCAACCTGTGCCTAATACTTTCCAGAATTAGGTAAGCAGGATGCGTCCCTCCAGGGGGGGAGAGAGAGAGAGAGAGAGAGAGAATGTGCATTCCATTCCAATAAATATCTCTGGTAGTTCCATGTGTAGGTGGGATGCCTGGAATCCTCAGTTTGGTTTGGATACGCTTAACCACGGTGATGGGTTTCCGTGTGTCAGACACCCGGCTGACCTCCAAAAAAATATCCTGTGAAGCATTTTGAGGCCATTTCCTGGGGTGAAAGACAAATCCAGCTGCCAATTTGCACGCATCTTATGCCTCAATCACGTCCCCATTGAGAGGTCACTGTTCAAGGCTGAAGAACTCTATCTTATCTGTCAGTTCTGATCTCGCGGACACTGAGGGAATCTGCCTCTGGGGGTCTGAGCAGCTCTTCGTGTCCCAGCGAAAATCAGGCATCGAAAGACAAACTGAAACGAGGGAACATAGAAACAGGAGGAGGCCATTCAGCCGCTCAAGCCTCTTCCTGATCATGGCTGATCTGTACTGTACCTCAAGACCAATTACCTGCCCTTTGCCCCGTATCCCTTGATACCCTAACAGATATCTATCCACCTCAGTCTTGAAAATGTGAATGGATCCAGCCATAACCCACAGCCTTTTGGGGGTGGGAGAGAGTTCCAGATTCCCATTAGCCTTTCGGTGAAAAACTGCCTCCTGGTTTCACTCCTAAACGGCCTGGCTCTAATTTTGAGATTACGCCCCCCCACCCCCACTGTTCGAGGTTACACTACCAGAGGAACATATTTCTAAATGGGCTCATTAATAACAATATTCAAAAAGAGACAGAAGTTTTCAGCAAATAGAATTACAATGCTGTACCCACAAGCAGAGCAGTCAAAGAGGGAAATTGAATAAATCTTTGTTGAAGAGTACGGATAGACTCTTTAGACCAAAAGTAGTCTAACTGAGGTTTAGTCTCCCTCCTTTGTTAGCCTGTGAGCAGGCCAAGCCTCAGCTGTGTGAAAGACGCCTGCAGGAGCTGGCCTGACAAAATGCCTCATTCCATTAGTTTCAGCGAGCGCCAGCGCAGACACGATGGTTGAGAGAGCGGGGAATGGGGTTAGAGTAGAGAACTCCAGTGGGGGAGCGAGCACCAGGACAGAGATGGTGGGCCAAAAAAAAAAAAAGCTTTTTTTTGTGCTTTGAAACCCTTTCTCTTTTTGAATAGTACCAACCTACGAATCGTGTCCACCTGAACAAACCAATGTTAACGTCTCACCCAAAACACAGCACCTCTGACAATGCAGTACTCCCCATCTCCCCCCAACTACTCCCTCCCCTGAGCATCAGCCGAGACTGAGCTCAAAGACCCGTCGTGGGGCTTGAACCCATGACCTTCTAACCCGGAGGCGAGTGCGTTATTGTACATGGAACCTACAACATAGAAATCGACAAATGCTCAGTGCAAAGATATACAGTACATATAATACACACTATATATACATATATATATATAGGGACTCTGCTGTGCGCAATTGGCTGCCATGTTCTGCCCACAAAATATACAGTCAATTTACCTTACAGTGCATTCTGTGAAGTGCTGTGAGATGTCTCGAAGACCCGATCAAATGTAAGGATTATTTATATATATATATATATATATAGATATAAGATATGTACAAGAAAGCAGGGATAAGAAGCAATGAGCTCCAAAGCACTGAGTCCTTGAAGAGTTAAAAGTGGGGGAAGGCTTTGCAAATCAGAGGGAAAGGTAATCAATGTGGCAACTGTTGTGATCTATTTATTCACTAAAAGACAGGCAGTAACATCCGGCAAACAGGAGAGGTGCACAGTGCCAGCATTGGCATAACTCCAGTCCCCATCACCCCCCACCCTCCAACACACACCCACACATAGCATAACCCTCCCACCACACTCTCCTCCACCCCCCCCCACACACACTCCTAGCATCCTCCCTCCTCCATCGCACACACACATACCAACACACTCCACCCTCCCACACACACACACATACGCACACACACCCCAACAGACACCAACAGAAAAAAAATGTGAGATTTTTTTTTAAATGAAAGGGAAATTTGCTCTGATTTTATTTGGGAAAGAAATGAGAAATTGGGGGATGGGGTCGAATATGCAGACCTGTAGCCACAAGCCAAACGAGCTTGTTTTCTTAAGAAAGAAACACGTCACTAATTATTAATGGCATGGTGGGGGGGGGGGGGGAGGAACAAAAAAAAAGGAGAGAGAGAGAGAGAGAGAGATAGGAGCTTCCCTGAGCGTCTCGCTCAGCAGTCATGCAACGCAGTGAAAAAGATTTTCAAAACAAGACCCGTGAATGACATGCGTGGACGAGAGAGAAACACACACACACAAATAAATATACATCATATATATATTTATGTATTGTGCGTGTGTGCGTGTGTGCGTGATTGTGCGTGTGCCTGTGTGTGTGTGTGTGTGTGTATGATGCGTGTCATTCATGGGTCTTGTTTTGAAAATCTTTTTCACTGCACAGTATGGTATAATATGTATATATAGTAGAGAGACAGTAGACAGAGAGAGAGAGAGAGAGAGAGAGAGAAAGAAAGAGTGTGCAAAATAGAGATAGAGACACAGGGAAATAGAGAGAGAGTGCAAAAAGAGAGAGAGAGAGAGAGAGATTACCTGGGGATGGGGAAGCTGCTACCTCTGCCATTTTAAGCACTCATGCAGGTTCCCACAAGTTTGGCACGAAAGGCAGAGCTAACGCAGCCTCAGCGGGCAGCTCTCACTCTCTCGCTCGCTCGCTATATTGAACACACTGGATTCTAACCTTAATTTGTCAGCGGGAGGGAGGGAGGGAGGGGAGGAGATGGCCCGACTTGTGCTGGATGTTCTCCTGTCAGTGGTGGGGGGGGGGGGGGGGAAGGGGTTTGATGTCATTTATTGATGCTGGGAGATTGGGCTCTCTTTCTTCTTACCCATCGCGCGCACACACACACACGCGCACACACACACACACACACGCACACACACACAGACACAGACGCACACAAACCAACACACACACACACAGACGCACACATACACACACACACACACAGACGCACACACACAGACGCACACATACACACACACACACACACAGACGCACACACATGCACACAAACAGACACACACACACACACACACACACACACACAGACAGACACAGACACACAAAACGCCAATGGCGATAAGTTTAAGATGACGTCACCCTCTGTGCCTCAGTCCCTACGATTGGCTGAGCAGCTGTTGGGAGCTGAAGGACGGGCTCTGCCCGGAGGTGGGGGAGCCATCAGCACCACCCGGCATCATTGACGGTCGTCGTGGAAACAGCCCCCCCCCCCACCATCCCCCCCCACCATCACCCCCCCCCCCCCGTCACCGCACCCTCTCGCCCATCACCCGGGCACTTTACACCCAGACTGACAACAAGCTAAAAGGTTCGGCAGCTTATATATTAATAACAAGACACACGCAGAGTAATAATGAAATGTCCGTCAGTGCAAAAAGGCAGCCCTCTCCCCCCCCAACATTCCCCCTCCTCCTTCCCCCCCATATTCCCCGCCCCCCCCCCCCCCGCTGCCCCTCCAGATTAGGTACCAGGCAGCACTTACTCAGTGGGTTCATGCCATTCACAAAACAAAAAGGCGGTGGGGCAAAAGATACCTTTAGGGGGTTGTTGATGATAATAATAAAATACAATAATCTTAGCACTCGGTGTGTCTTTCGAGAGGCCATCTCCCAAAGCACTCCACAGGATCTCACTGTGAACCGTAGTGACTGGGTGTTGTGTAGGGTTACCCAGCGGAACACTCGTCTACTTAAGAGCAGCCTAAATTTTCCGTGAGTGAGCCAAATAAATATATATACACATACATATATGGGGAAGGGTCAGGGGGCGATTAAAAAAAGAATAGTATTCGGATGAGTGTCTAGAAACCAGACTCGGAAACGGAGCAACAATCCAATTTCACGGAAGGATTCAAATATTCCGCAACATTACGACTTCGACGTACAACAAGGTACGGATCGAGCCCAGTTCAGCCCTCGCTGTTCGCACCTTCACACAAGCGAGGGATATTAATGATAATAAACCTTGCATTTGATATAGTGCCTTATCGCGCCTTCGAGTCGTCTCTAAGTGCTTCACAGGATACACTGTAAATTGAATTAACTGCACATTTTGTGGGAGAAACCCGGCAGCCAGTTGTGCACCGCCGTGTCCCATAAACACCCGTGGATTATTGACGCCCTGGAAAAGCAATCCGCCAATCGACTTACAACTGGGTTTCCCACATACCGGGTAAACAGTGGCGTGTGGAGTAAGGAAATTTGCCTTACGTTTCGCCCTGCCCCGCCCCGCCCGGGAATCGAACCCAGGTCCCCTCACTTGCGAGGCGAGCGCTCTAACCATCGTGTTAATACACTTATTTCTCCAGCAAGCGAGTGTTTTTCCGGGAGGCTGTTCCGAGACAGTTCATGGGCAGGCGGCAACATTACCCCACTAGCGACTGACAACCGGTGACGTGAGTCTCTGCTGTGCGATGCGCTGCGGGCAGATGAGTGCGCCCAGAGGGGAATTACAGGTGTCCCCGAGTGTGTAATTAAAACAAAGATTAGTTATGTAATTAACCAACATCTCGGTACTTAATTACATTAATCGAGGGCACTTCGAATTCCCTCCGTACGCAACCATCTCCCCGTGGCACGGTATAGACCTCGGCTTACAAAGGTTTCCGAGTGCTCCACACGAGGAGTAACCGCGCACAACGCACACCCACACCCTCGAGCGCAACTCCATGGGATCACAGACATGGCCAGGTTTATTATCAGAGCGCACAGTAAACGCGGGCCCGCTCCATGCAAATACTGTTCCACTTTCACACCAGGGGAACAAAAGGGACATGGAGGGAGTCTGGAGCAATAGAGGAGCAGAGGCCTTGGGGATGTGGTTTGTGGGAGTGAACCCTGGAACAGTCAATAGCGCTCTTGCCTCTGGGTCACGGGTTCAAAGGTAATGGGCTCAAACTCCACATCAGGGGCTTTGAGCTGACTGTCCAGGCTGACTCCCCGGTGTGGTGCTTGGGAGGTGTGTGTGTGTGTGTGTGTGTGTGTGTGTGTGTGTGTGGGCGCCGAATGGAGATATCGTTCCAATGACCCTTCAACTAACAGGAGCGAAGGGAGAAAGTATCCATGATATACAACGCCTGCATTGCTTTGCCCATTAAATCGCAAGCTGATGCCTGGCCAAGAACCAAGGGAACAGAAATTAGTTAACACACACGACGACACACACCCCGACACACACACACGCACGACATGCACACATACACACAACACGCACACACACACGACACGCACACACACACAATGACTGTTTCGCCCACAAATATACGGTCAATTCACATTACAGCCTATTCTGTGAAGCGCTTTGAGACGTCGAGAAGACGTGAAAAGCGCTATTTCAAATGCAAGGATTATTATTATTATTTATTATGACACACACACACACACACACACACAAAAATCTACAAACGATTTGAATAGCAAAATAATTCACATTTGAATATTCAAATCGTCATCATCACCAATTGTGTAAATGCAGAAGCTGTAAAGTCTGGTCAGGATACGGTAATGTTACTGGGAACAAACTCAGGAGTGCACCGTGAATTGGTGAATCAAAAGACAGTTGAGCGGCTATTCTGCCTTTTACACACTAATAAACCTTGAATTTGACACCCGCAACAGTCCCAGTGAGTTGCTGACAAGTGTAGTGACTGGGAGTCTTGTTGGGAATGCAGCAGCTAAAATTTGTGCACAGCAATGTCCCACAAACAGCCATAAAGTGACTTGTAAAGTGAATGATTCACCTGCAGTATCGTCAACCGAGAGAAACTCTCCCTTCTCTTTTGCAATAGTTGTGGGATCTCTGACGTTCTCCTGAACGGGGAATTCCTCCTGACGGGGAATTTGCTTTAACGTCTCATCCGAAGGATGGCACCTCTGACAATGTGTCGCTCCCCTCACCCAGCACCGTAATGGAGTGTCAGCCTAGGCTATGAGCTCAAAGTCTCCAATATGGGGGCTTAACCCCCACATTCTTCGAACCGCCGGAGTGGAAGACTGCAGACAGAACCCAACAGGTAGGGAAAGGGGGTGGGAAACACAAAAGTGTACAGGATATGTTTCAACCAGTAGGGTAATCTATTCGAAGATTCGAAGCAATATTTGTTTAGTTCTGAGCAAACAGCAAACTATAAAGCAACGTGGGCAAGTCACAAAGTCAGCACTTAACCCTTGAACAGTACAGGTCTAGCTGCAAATTTCTTTTTATTTTTGATAAAAAGGGAGGGATTATTACCTCCAAAAAGTGATCCTCCAAACGACTAACAACCGGGATTTACTGCCAGGTGAACAGAGACGTGTGGAGTAAGGAAACTTGCCCAACGTTTCGCCCTGCCCGGGGAATCGAACCCGGGTCCTCTCTTGCTTACGAGGCGAGCACTCTAACCACCGAGCTACAGTACAAACGTTCTTCCATACACTCCACGGCTTGGGTTTGGTTACCTCAATAATATCTGATACGCTGCCTTTCATGTCAGGAGCGCGTACATCTCAGAAAGTGTTTCGTAAGGTTCATTGCAATGTGTGCTCACTGTGTAATGTGTAGGCAAACACAGCAGCCAATTTGTGCACAGCAATGGCCCCAAACAGCCATTAAACAAGTGACCAATCTTTTTTTTTAAATAATCATGGGTACGGTTAGCCAAGACATCAGGAGAGAGAGAGACTCCCATCTCTTTGCGAATAGTGCAACAAGATCTTGAACGTCCACCTGAACAGGCAGATGGGGACGTCGCTTTAACATCTCAACTGAAGAACGACACCTCCGACAACACAGCACGTGACATTGGAGTGTCAGCCGAGCCTGGTTCAAAGTCCCGAAGTGGGGCTTGAACCCACAGCTTACTGGCCCACATCATGGACTTCACACCACAGGCTTGTGAATTGACGGACACAGAGTATCTGTGAAACGTTACGTTACGCTCACAAAATATACAGTTAATTCACTTTACAGTGTGTTCTGTGAAGCGCTTTGGGACGTCCTCCCGACGTGAAAAGCGCTATATCAAATGCAAGGATTATTATTATTATTATTATTATATACAGAGCTTTGAGACGTGATAAGGCGCCATATCAAATGCAAGGATTATTATTATTATTATTATTATATACAGAGCTTTGAGACGTGATAAGGCGCCATATCAAATGCAAGGATTATTATTTCTCTCCAGGATCTTCAAATCTCCTCCAAACCAGCTCCCTCCCCACCCCCCCCACCCCCAGCCTTGTACTAATTTGTTGTAGCTGTAAGTAGCTGTTTAGGGAAGATAGGGAACCCTATCAAGGAGAGACCGGCTGGGAGGAATTATCGAACCAGATAGCACAAAGGATGAACATCAAGCAAAGAGGCGACCATTGAAATCTAGGGCGTCCCAGCTTTTAACAGAGGCATTAGTTCTGCTCCACCAGCACACCAGGCCCAGCCACACGAGGAGCATGAGGTAATCAACGTGGTGTTTAGCCAAAAAAATATTTACAACCGAAACAGAGGAGGGAGGAATGCAAAGCAACCGAGCGTGTGATTCCATGTAAGTGTCTTTCTCTCTTGGTCTGAATCCTATTACACTACCTACTCTACCCCGAGACAAGTCTCCGACCAAACCCTTCCCAATAATCTACCTCAGCAACCCTCCACATCGACCTTGGTTTCGCCCACGAAATATAGAGTCAATTCACTATATTCTGTGAAGCGCTTTGAGACGCCTCAAAGATGTGAAAAAGCGCTGTATCAAATGCAAGAATTATTATTATTATTTTTACAGTTCACACCAGTTTATTGGGGAAGCAATTATTGAGGTTTATTGGGAAGGCGATGCCTGTCGCAACTAAGATATTTAGCAATAATGACACATACCACACACACATACGCACACGATTTGCTGACCTTCCAGCCCTCCATTCATGATCAAGCAATCAGCCATTTTTCTGCTCCCAAACTTATAACCATAATAATCCTTGCATTTATTATGGCAACTCATTGCGTTACCTTGTTTTTGCTACGACATGAACTGCTACAGCACCTGTCGTGCCCAGTAATGTCCTGAAGAGCTTGTCAGAGGTGTACATTGGGAAATTCCCAGTTCTAGGAACCAGCAATTAGGCTCATAGAGAAACCCACCTAAACAGGAAAATCACGTTCCGCAACCACCAATGCATCTTCCATACAGGCGGCTCAAATCACATTGGATCACCAGTTTGTGATGTTTCACAGCTCCGCACTGGTGGGAAATGAGTTGTTGGGAGCGAGTCTCCATTCGGTCACACAGACCTGAAGCTCCAACTGGTTTAACGTTAACTGATGGGTTATCAGCCACAGTCCAGGCCGACTCCTCCAGTGTAGGGAAAGGGCTGTGTTGTCTGGGTAGACGTTAAAGATCCTGCGGCTTTATTTGAAAAACGAATCATGCCAACAGCCCCCCCCGCCCTCTCCCCTGCCCCCCCCCCCCGCCCTCTCCACTGCCCCCCGCACCAGCCAACAACCCCCCAGACAAAATTGATCACAACAATTTATTGTTGCATTTGATACAGTGCTTGATCACGTCTTCGAGACGTCTCAAAGCGCTTCACAGAATATACTGTAAAGTGAATTGACCGGATATTTTGTGCGTGAAACACGGCAGCCGATCGCACACAGCAGCGTCCCACAGACCAGCTTATTATTATTATTTTTTCTTGAATATTCAAATGAGAATTATTTTGCTATTCAAATCATTTGTAGATTTTTGAGTGTGTGTGTGTGTGTGTGTGTCTCAAAAAAGTGATCTGACAAACGACTAACAACTAACTGGGTTCCTACTTACTGCCGGGTAACCAGAGGCGTGTGGAGTAAGTAAGTAATAAAACTTGCCCAACGTTTCGCTCTGCCCGGGAATCAAACCCAAGTCCTCTCGCTTGCGAAGCGAGTGCTCTGACCACTGAGCTACAGGACTCCGTGATTCCCTTTAATGGGAAATCCCGCGTGCCAATTGGCTGCTGGGGTTTGCTACAACACAGTCACTACACTGCTACAATTCCCAGCAATTCCCTGTGAAATAAATTGCTGAGGTTTTGTTCTGAATATCTGTAACAAACGTTAACAATTCGAGAAGCCATTCCTCGTTCCCCATGGCAGCAAATTTCTCTGACGAGAAAGCTGAACAGACAGCAAAGTCCGCTTGCAAGGCATAGTGGGAGTGGTGGGTGGGTGGTGGGGGGGGGGGGTGTGGCTTTATTAATAAAAAGATTAGAAAGTAGACATATTAAATCCCCCCACCCCGCCGCCATCATTTAAGCTTAGCACCTGCCATCCATCCACCAAGCTGTCGTTGCGAGCTCACAGGCTCTTTAAAGATGACACAATAGTGCACAACCCCCTCCTTCCCCCCCCCCCCACCCCCACCACCAATCCCAATACATAAAACATACACCCACCACTCGGGCTGTGCTTGTGGCTCAGCCCCCAGCTGCTAAAGCTCCACAACTTGCACCTGTTCACTCGTGTTCTCTTTCTCTCTCTCTCTCTCCCCCCCACTACCTCTCTCTCCTCTCCCCCCCCCCACCCCCACATCACCCTCTGGCAACCCTCAAGCTTGCAGCCTGGCGACCAAAGAAAGCTCCTCGACAGACCTTGGAACAAAAGCTCTGACAAGACCCCATCCCTCTCTCTAAATTAACTCTTGCAATACCAAAAAGGCAGCTTACACCAAATAACACACACATATATATATATATATACACACACACACCGCACACTTCATCATGTACAGTGTAATGCACGACGGGAGTGCATAAATATCATCAGGATCCCCTTTAAATGCAAATTTAATTTCTCCCCCCCATCCCCCCACCCTCAAAAAATACTCAAATTAATTGGTCGCTCGTCTCATTATTTATGGCACGGATCAGCTGCTGGATTCACTCGTACATCATTCATTTAATTTCTTATTAATTACATTTTTAAAAAGCCGTTTAAGATCTCGAGGGCGTATTTTTCGTAAAAGTGAGAGAAGGCGCTGTTATTTATAATAAAAATAAAAGTCCCTCTCCTGCTCAGTCCTGTCCCAGTTCATATGTATGAAGCACTTTGAGACGTCTTCCCAGTGTGAAATGCACGATATAAATGTAAGTTGACTGGGCTAACTCTCTGTTCATTTGCAGCAATCCACACGTAGCAAAGCCCCATAAACAGGAGAGAGGGTTGACCAATTTTATCTGGTTACAAATGGGCTGAATGGCTGTGTGTAACCTTTCTATATATGGGAGGTGGTGAGATTTATTGTTAGGCTTTTCTTACTGTGAGGCATGTTTGACCAAACTCCAAGGTGCAGTTTATTTTGGTCACTGGGTGTCTGTCTGACACAGGGCGGAAACCGATAACCGGGCTTAAAGCGTATCCAAACCAGGGAGAGTCACACAGGGCCACGGAAAATTGCGTTCACGTGAACATTGCCTTGATAACGTCACAGAGGCACGTCAGATACTGTGCGGGGGGGGGGGGGGAGGTGGGGCTCACTAATTCAGTGAGCAAGTAGTAAAATTATTATTTTGCCCGCAAAATATAGTCAGCTTGGAGACGTCTTGAAGACATGATAAGGTGCTATATCAAAAAGGATTATTATTATTATGAAACAGGTTCTCTAGGGAGACAGTGGAAGCAGAAATTTGTTATTTGTTTCAAGAACAAATGAGAGATTTCTGCTAGAAAATAATATCTGGGGAACAGTGTATAGTTTGGGACACGACATGTCAAGCGACTGCCAGGATGGTGGAAGGCAAACTCCAATTGATGGACCTTGGGTCTTCTTTTGCCAGCAAATTCCTACGTGCGGGGTTGGAAGAGGAAGATTTTTTAAACCCGAGGGCTCGAGCCAGAGGGATGAAAGGGGGGGCATAGTTGCTGAACGTTGGGTTGCCAATGGTGAAGACATGGGGTGGGGCGGAAGAAATGCATATAGCAGGCCCGACTTGGGAAGGTGCAGATGGGGAGGGAGGTGCTGGGATTTACAGGCTGTAAATGGCAGTGGGGGGTGTGGGGAAGA